GAGGGAGAGAACCTGAGGGAGAGAAGAAGAAAGTGAGAGAGTACTAGTAAGAGAGAGGAAGGCTAATGAGGAAAGAAGATGAGAGAGGGGGAAACATCCCTCCTTATATAGACTTTCCTTCAGCTTGCCAGGAAGGCTTACCTAACAAAAAAAAAATTCTCTCAAAAGTCAAAAATACTATGGAAGCTAATTTAGGGCTTTATCTTCAAGCTACCCATACTAAAATCAATCTATCATACTATCATACAATTTTTTATTCCTCGCATGAAGCATAGAGTCCATATGGTTGAACACAGCTACCCGGATTAGCAGTTAAATTATTCGTGGAACTATCTAAGCGGCTACAAAACTCTTACATATAAACAAAATGAATATCCACAGCAATAGTGCCAGCTTCTACAATATAATTCGGGTGTTGTTCCTCTCTTACATTCTTCAATAGTGAGCGCGCTTATGATACGTTCCGAAATATCTCGGGTTATGTGATGTGCTTGAGTCACCGATTGAGATTTGGTGAAACTGGAAGCAAGGGTAGCCAGCACTAACAAAGCCATAGTCCGATCTCAGGGTACTATTGGTCTTCCAAAGAAACTCCACCAACAACTAATAAAAGTGAAAATTAAATTGGATTCAGCCAGAAATACAGAAACAGCTTATTTATTTTTACCAAGCCTTTATTGTCCAGAATAATCAGACAAGCACAGCTCCATGTCTCCGACCTACCTAGTTCCTACTAGAATAAACGCCGCGGAGGTGTCGAATAAAAGCGGAACAGTATCGATGTTAAGTTAAGAGAGCAACAAGAGAAGGCGGGCAATCTAGACGCAAATATTTAGCCTCAACACTGGGCAGTGATAGACAGGGATGGTCTAAGTGGGCCAGATAACGCACCGGTTCTGGGCTGCTAGGGTCCAAGATTTCATCCCAATCGAAATACTCATCATCCACATTCGGGAAATTGGCAAACACCTCGGGCTATAGTGAATAGTTGTTAGATTCTAAAAATACCGGAAACTAAGCCGAGAGCACTCAGGGTCATACCTTCATCAAACCGAGCAGGTCTTCAAGCTCGATAGGCTCCGCGTCCATGCCCTCTTCCACCGTATCATCGTCCTGATTCTCCTGATCTGCAGCCGCCAGAATTACCCTCATCTTCTCTTCTTCTTGTTTCCATTGAGCATATCTCTCATCCTCATCGAGCACCGCAACATCCTCCTCAGTATCAGTATCACCAGCTTCCCCTTCATGGGGCTCCCCATCTTGTGTCATCTCAATCTCATCATCGCTACTGCCCCTTTGAACAGCTCTCGGGTTCCTCCTGTAATAACCCTTCCTAATCCCAACACTCAAGACACGCACAACCTGATGAACAGCCTTGTAAATTCTATATATCATTCCACCGTTAGCCCATTATAATGTCCTCCAGAAAATTGCCAGGTAGAACGAAAAAATAATATCGAAAAAAAAACCCCCATACTTATGGTGATCCTCAGGCCAGACTAGGCCCCTCACGCCGCTCGGGAAAAGCCTAGGCCCAACCTCCTCAAGAATGTTATGGAGCCAGAGGTGGTAGGATTTCTTATTTGCCCCGTGGCCCAGACGCCTAAATTCGAAAGCCGGGGTGCCGGGGACAACAACGGACTTGATATAAACCTTAAGTTCATAGTACTTATCGGAGGCCATGGAAATTTCAGTGATGTGCTTGGGGATCCTGGACTTTCTGGTAGCCCCTAAAGATTTTCTCCCCATTTTTTCGATTTTAGTCGGATATTGGTTCTTTTTTCTTATTTTGGGCGGTGATGGTTGTTGTCCCCGTAATGGTTGTGGAGTGGTGTGGGTGAAATCCTAGACCATTAACAAGAGGATGTCAGAGGGATGGGAGGGGGTATGGTATCCTGAAAGATGAGGATCTAGGGTCCGGTATTAACCTCAGTAGTATCTTACCTTATAGGGTTGGGAGAGATCCAGAAATGGTGACATGGCAGTCATGCACTCTCATTCGCCCAGAAAGCCTACTCATGGGTATGTAACTCCTGGAACAATGGCAGGTAATGGGCTGTGTAGAGTTAGCTCAAAATGTTTCGTCAGAGGCCCTACTACACCAAATCCATCCACTTCTGCCCCCCACCCTGACAACATTAGTGCGCACAAGTATGATATCTGTGATAACTATTTCCCATTCCACGCTATCAAACCCGTGGATAGCACATAAGCTAAAACTTCACAGAACCCATAAAAGCAATTGAACCGCGGGGAGTGTAAACTCTGTGGGAGGTATCATATCAGATATGGCTTCCATGTGTTATACATTACCCTTTTCTATAGAGCCCTATCCAACCTTTAAATACCTTGCCCACCAAGTAATAGGATATTAAGTCGTGGGCTCAATCTCATTCTTTCTTTATCTGTGCTTCAGCGAAGACGAGTCGAAGAAATTCCCCAGCCGATATCAAAATTCCAGCTGTTCCAGCTGTTCTTTACAATGCAGCGTCGGGAGCCATTTCACCGGAAAAGTCTATCACCCACCAAATCTAGTGTAACAACCCATTTCGGGCAAAGCTTTCTTGCTGAGAACAATGCTTTATACGATGGAATAAATACGCAGCAGCATTTGTGCTCCTCCATCCCCCTCCGGGGGCCACCACCCCTACCTTCCTTCCTCCCTGCGAGCGGAGAGCGGGAACCAAACGAGACCCGAAAAAAGGCTGTAACATACAGCATCGGGTTTTTCGAGGCCGTAATTTTTGTACACTGTATGAAGCATAGAGCCCACATGAACGAGTACAGCTACCCGGATCAGAGCAGGTAAATTATTCGTCGAACTATCTGAGCCGCTACAAAATTCCCACACAACAAACTGATAGCAATAATTAAGATATAAACCGTCCCGTGTGACACAATTCAAGTATTTCTCCACTCCCCCTTATATTAGTACTAAAGCGGTCTTCTGGCGATAAAGTCACAGATATCTTCGTTTTCATAAAACAAATCCAACCTGTCTGAATAACACCTGTATATTGTACAGTTTTTCAGGTAAATGAGGAATTGAGTTGAAAGGGGGATAAACCAGTAGGCGCGTGGCTGACTTCCCAGTAGACTAATATGTCAAGACTTGGTCTCCCACAGCGGAAGGTCCCACGTTCAAAGATGTCTTGGGTTATGTGGTGTACTTGATTCACCGATTGAGATTGCGTGAAGCTCCGGGCAATGTTTGCCACGCCCAACCAATCCATGTTTTGATCCGAGGACACTATTTATTTTCCAACAAAACTCCACAAACAATTAACAAAATACAAAATCGAATTGGATTCAACTAGAAATACAGAGACAGTTCATTTGCTTTTTGTTATTGAGCTTCCGTGGTCTGGAACAATCAAACAAGCATTGCTCCATACCCCAATCTACTCATGTCCCGCTAAAACAAGCGCCACATAAAGTGTCGAATAAACGCACAACAGCACCGATGTTAAGTTAAGAAAGAAGCAAGAGTAGGCGGGCAATCTAGACGCAAATATTTAGCCTCAAAATTCTGCAGTGATAGATAGGAATGGTCTAAGTGGGCCAGATAACTCACCGGTTCTGGGCTGCTAGGGTCCAAGATTTCATCCCAATCGAAATACTCATCATCCACATTCGGGAAATTGGCAAACACCTCAGGCTATAGCGGATAGTTGTTAGATTCTAAAAATATCGGAAACTAAGCCGAGAGTACTCAGGGTCATCATACCTTCATCAAACCAAGCAGGTCTTCAAGCTCGATAGGCTCCGCGTCCATGCCCTCTTCCACCGTATCATCGTCCTGATTCTCCCGATCCGCAGCTGCCAGAATCACCCTCATCTTCTCTTCTTCTTGCTCCCATTGAGCATATCTCTCATCCTCATCGAGCGCCATAACATCTTCCTCAGTATCAGTATCATCACTAGTCTCCCTTTCATGCGCCTCCTCATCTTGTGCCATCTCAATCTCATCATCGCTACTACCCCCCTGGGCGGGTCTCAGGTTCTTCCTGTAATACTTCTTCCTAATCCCAATACTCAAGACACGCACAACCTGATGAACAGCCTTGTAAATTCTATATATTGTTCCACCGTTAGCCCATTATAATGTCCTCCAGAAAATTGCTGGGTAGAGCAAAAGAAAATAAAACCGGAAAAAAAAAGCATACTTATGGTAATCTTCGGGCCAGACCAGGCCCCTCACGCCGCTCGGAAAAAACCTAGGCCCAACCTCCTCAAGAGTCTTATGGAGCCAGAGGTGGTATGCTTTCTTATTCGCCCCGTGGCCCAGACGCCTAAATTCGAAAGCCGGGGTGCCGGGGACAACGACAGACTTGATATAAACCTTAAGCTCATAGTACTTATCGGAGGTCATGCAAATCTTAGTGATGTGCTTGGGGATCCTAGATTTTCTGGTAGTCCCTGGAGGTTTTCTTCCCATGTTTGCGATTTTGGTTGGATATTGGTTCTTTTTTTTTCTTTTTTCTTCTTTTGGGTGGTGGTGGTGGTGGTGGTGGTTGTCCAGGTGATGGCTGTGGAGTGGTGTAGGTGAAATCCTAGACAATTGATAAGAGGATGTCAGGTATGGGAGAGGCTATGGTATCCTGAAAGATGAGGATCTAGGGTCCGGTGCTAACCTCAGTCGTATCCTACTTTATAGGGTTGGGAGAGAACTAGGTAAGGAGACCTCGCAAGTCATGGATTCTCATTCGCTCAGATCCCCTACTCATGGGTAACTCTTGAAATAACGGCGGGTCATGGGCTGTGTGGTGTTAGCTCAAAAAGTTCCGTCAGAGGCCCTTCTACACCAAACCCATCCACTTCTACCCCCCACCTTGACGACATTAGTGCGCATAAGATTCTATGATACCACGCTATCAAACCCGTGGATAGCATATAAGCTAAATCTTGACAGAACTCGCGAAAGCCACGAAACCGTGGAGAACGTAAACTAAGTAGGAGGTATCATGTCATATGTGGTTTCCATGAACAAGACTCTTTGCAACACTTGCAGAGCCCTATCCAATTCCTTAAATCACTTCCCCACCAAGTGATATTAAATCGTGGGCTCAATCTCATACTTCCTTTATCGGTGCTTCTACGAGGACGAGTCGAAGAAATTCCCCCGCCGATATCAAAACCCCAGCTGCTCTTAACAATGCACCGCCTTGAGTCACTCCTCCGGAAATGTCTATCACCTACCAAATCTAGTGCAAAAACGCATGTCAGGCAAAGGTTTTTCATTGAGCACGATGCTTTATACGCTGGAAAACATACGCAGCAGCATTCACGCTCCTCCATCCCCCTCAGGGCTCTTTACCCCCCCCCCCACCTTTCTTCCTCCCAGTGAGCGTAGCGCGGAAACTATAATACCGCAGCGCAAAAAAAAAAGGCAGTGATAATACCAACGGGTTTTAAGGCCATGATTTTTTACACTGTGTAAAGCACAGAGCCCACATGACCGAGTATAGCTACCCGGATCACAGCAGGTAAACTATTCACGGAGCTATCTAAACCGCTACAAAACTCCATAAAAACCGAATAAATATTGATAGCAATAATTAAGATAGCAGCCACCACCCGTGACACAATTCGAGTGTCTTTCTACTCCACCTTGTGTTAGTACTAAAGCGGTCGTCTAGCGATAAAGTCGCCAACATCTTGTTTTCATAAAACAAATCCAACCTGTCTGAATAACGGCCGTATTTTGTTCAGATTTTCTGGTAAAAGAGGAATGGAGTTGAAAGAAAAATAAGAAAAACCAGTAGGCGTGTGACTAACTTGCCAGTAAATTGACATGTCAAGACGCTCCCCTATAGCGGAAGGTCCTACGTTCCAAGATGTCTTGGGCCGTGTGGTGTGCTTGATTCACGATTGGGATTCGGTGAAGCTCCAGACGATGTTTTCCATACCCTACCAACCCATGTTTTGACCCGAGGACACTACTTATTTTCCAAGAAAACTCCACCAACAATTAACAAAAGCTAAAATCGAATTGGATTTAACTAGAAATACAGAGACAGTTCATTTGCTTTTTTTGTTGAGCCTCTACGGTCTGGAATAATCAGACAAGCACGGCTCTATGCCCCGATATACCCACGTCCCACTAAAATAAGCGCCGCATAAAGTGCCGAATAAACGTGCAACAGTATCGATGTTACGTTAAGAAAGAAGCAAGAGAAGGCGGGCAATCTGGACACAAATATTTAGCCCCAACTCTCCGCAGTGATAGACAGGAATGGCCTGAGTGGACCAGATAACTCACCGGCTCTGGGCTGCTAGGATCCAGAATTTCATCCCAATCGAAATACTCATCATCCACATTCGGGAAATTGGCAAACACCTCGGGCTATAGCGGACAGCCATTAGATTCTAAAATACCGGAAACTACAGTCGAGAGTGCTCAGGGTCATACCTTCATCAAACCAAGCAGGTCTTCAAGCTCGATGGGCTCAGCATCCATGCCCTCTTCCACCGTATCGTCCTCCTGATTCTCCCGGTCTGCAGATGCCAGAATCGCCCTCATCTTCTCCTCTTCTTGTTCCCATTGAGCATATCTCTCATCCTCATCGAGCACCACAACATCTTCCTCAGTATCAGTATCATCACTAGTCTCCCTTTCATGCGCTTCCTCATCTTGTGCCATCTCCACCTCATCATCGCTACTGCCCCCTTGAACAGCTCTCGGGTTCCTCCTGTAATAACTCTTCCTAATCCCAATGCTCAAGGCACGCACAACCCGATGAACAGCCTTGTAAATCCTATATATTATTCCACCTTTAGCTCATTATAATGTCCTCCAGAAAATTGCTGGGTAGAGCAAAAGAAAATCAAATCGGAAAAAGAAAAAAAAAAAGCATACTTATGGTAATCCTCAGGACAGGCCAGGCCCCCCTTGCCACTCGGAAAAAACCTAGGCCCAGCCTCCTCAAGAGTCTTATGGAGCCAGAGGTGGTATGCTTTCTTATTCGCCCCGTGGCCCAGACGCCTAAATTCGAAAGCCGGGGTGCCGGGGACAACGACGGACTTGATATAAACCTTAAGTTCATAGTACTTGTCGGGGGTCATGGAAATTTTATTGATGTGCTTGGGGATCCTAGACTTTCTGGTAACCCCTAGAGATTTTCTTCCCATTTTTGCGATTTTTGTCGGATATCGGATTATTGATTTTTTTTAATTTTCTTTTCGGTGGCGGTGGTTGTCCAGGTGATGGTTACGGGGTGGCGTGGGTGAACTCGCAGACCATTGATAAGAGGATGTCAAACCGATGGGAGTGGGTGCGGTACCCTCAAAGATCAGGATGTAGGGTTTAATGTTTATGGGCAGTCGTATGATATGATATTTTACGTGATAGGGCTGGATAAACCCCTGGTAAGAAAGCACCGCAAGTCATGAGTTCTCATCCGCTCAGCATGCTTACTCGCCATTGAACCTGGCGTTGGGAATGGGAATGGGTAAACTTAATTCTTGGAGCTGCAAAATAGGGCCCGTACGATAAAACGTAGCTCCCCCAGTAATATCTAGCAATTCACTCACTCATGTCTACACGCTACGAAACTCCCACATAGACACCGAATGAATCCCCTGGCAAACACAAACAGTCCAAGCTTCTACGATGTGTAATTCGAGAGCTTTACTTTTCCCTCGATCTCTACCGGTGAGCGTTTATGTTCCAAGGTGGGATGGCGGTCATCTGAGTAATCCACCGATTGAGATTCTGTGACGGGTCAACAACCGACTAGCAGCCCCTAGATCTCCACCCAGTCTCGGAGCACATCTCCCAACGAAAATCCCCGCAGAAAATCAATTAGAGTAAAAAGCGAACCTGGTCCCATAAAATATAGATAAAAAAAAAGGCTAAGGTCTTAATTCAACTTCAAGCGTTCTACCCCCCTTGAACGAGCTAGTCTCAAACGCCCAACTTGAAAAAGAAACCCACCAAATAGCACAAACGCTCAGGACAACTCCGCGAATTCAAGTGGACATTTGGTTACAGGTACTTAGAGCGAACAATCCGGCGCTTTTACCCTTGCTCCGCACCTGTGAAACAAGCTCTCGCAGCTCCCATCACTCTCACATTGCTAAAAATCAAAGTCCTACCTGAAACACCCAGCACCGACCAACCGTTCCAGAGATGTCCATCCCAATAACCCGCAAAACCAAATCCCTCCCAAGAACCATCGCTTCAACAGGCCTCACCCAAGAAAAATACAGCCTCCTCCGTCATCACCTAAAAACCGTGCTAGTCCCGGGCTCCGTCGGCTTTGACGGGTACGGCATGGGCATGCGGAATAAGGCCAAATTCCTGGAATGGTTTCAAGTTTTGATCGCCGAGATCGGGCCCACCTACTGGCCTGCCGACAAAGATGAGGGTCTATCGTGGCCAGAGGATCGAGCTATGTTAGTATTCCTTTTGTTATTCTTTCCCTCTCTGGAACCTCCCCCTAGCGGAGCTGCTGGTTCTAATATCCCGAATTGACGCCACAGGATTGCGGATTCAGTGCTCAAGGTCGTGAATTACATGAGTAAGGAACTTCGTCGCGGGGGGAAAAAAGAGTCTGTAGATGCTTCTACTCTCGGGGGAGTTGCGGGCGCTGTTAGCAGAATTGAAACTTTTCATGAGACGAGGAGGGGGTTGGATGTCGCGGAGAGTCTTTGGGTACATGAATTTTCTCACGCTACCCCAGCCATTCCTATCGACGGTTCTGACACCGAAGAGACACAGGAGGAGATGGCTCAACCACTTCCGCACGAAGGGGAAATTGTAAATGAGGAGGACTGGGAGCAGTTTATCAATTGGCAAATGTGCGAGTAGGGGGATCGGAAGAAGGAGGATTCGTTCAATGGTATACACTAATCCGCCCCTGTTGACCGTTAGGTAATCTAGTGTCTTCAGACAATAGTTGTTAGGAGTAGTTAACATAGACGCTTCTTACTGTTTGCTTGAAATTGCTTCTGCTTTGGCCCCCCCCCCCCCTTTGCTTTCCCGCGCCTTAGCCTCACTGTACTTGATACTCGCTATAGAGCTTGAATATATTCATGATTCGCACTGGACCCAATAAAAGTTTTGAATCAAAATTCACGCCAGACATAACTCTTCTCCGTAGTGTGCCCAGTCAGACCCTATCAAGCCCGGAAGGAAACACCTTTGTCCCTTGCCCAGCAGTAAAGATCCGAAATCCTCAGTACTATACCGTACACCGACAGTGCGCCGCCTTATTTATTCATTTTCACTTTTTAACCATTTCGCCAATCGACTAATCAAGGTGCATCCCCCCAGACACAGAGTTCATAACCCCAAGAGAAAGAAAGAAAGAAAAAGGTATCATACCTCACATTTCATTCCCTTCCTTTGTGGAGAGAGTAAGTCCCATACTGGTTGTTTTGCCGAAGACTTTAAACCTCCCAAAGTTCTCCACGTTAGCGCGCCGTATCATAGGACAAGAGTTTCGACCGAATGATTATCCATGATTACGCTTCGCACGGAAATTCGAGTTCCTGTATCATACGATACACATCATATTCGTCAGGAAGTCGCTATGCAGCAACGGCCCTCAAACTTGCCGCGCCACACGTAGGAAACCCTGCTTCGCATGTGGTTCGGCAAGTCTGATGAATTTATCCGGTAGGCCACTCCCCAAATTGGTCAAAGATAGGGGGTGAGAATCCATCGGCGGATGGGATATTCCACACAAATATCTGAACTCCCCTCCCAGCACTAATGCTCATGTAACAGTTCACACTTGGTCCATACGGAGTTCTATATACCAGCTCCCGCACCCAAGCAGGATACCCCACATCCCGAGATTACTAGAACCGGTCGTGGGTATCATTGCCCACGCTCTTGGGTCCTCACCTTCAACCCCCTAGCTTATTAAAAATATCAACCGAGCGTCCAGACAATGGCTTCCCCTGTTATCACCCGCCATCCTTCACCTTCCCTCCCATATGCATAGAAACAGTCCTCCTCCACCGTCGCCAATTCCCTATTCTACCAGCACAGCTTGTCTCCTCAAGAAAAGCGCCATCAAAACTCTGAGCCCTCCTCCCTACAAACACCCCCTAACAACATAACTCTAGCCCCGATACCGAAAATGGCCAACCTTCCGAATCAAGACGGCTTGTTCGCCTACTTCCGCCGCCGCCTCCTCCAAATCCCGCCATTCGCGGCTCCCACCAGTCCCTCCACTATCCTACTCATTGGGGCAAACAGCGGTATCGGACTCGCAGCGGCCAAAATCCTCCTCTCTCTCCAGGGCCTGGAGAACCTACTCCTGACAGCGCGCAGCACGGAGAAGTCTCTGCAGACCAGACAGCACCTTGCACACTTGTGCCCAGCCAGCGTCAATATCGAGACCTTCGAAGTGGATCTAGCAGACTGCAATTCCATCAGCGAGTTCATTATGAGCTTAAACGCCAGTAGCAAGAGCGGCATGAGACACGTCAACACAGCCATCTTGAACGCTGGCGTGATGCCGGACACGTACGAGCTCGGCTGCGGCAGGTTCGAACTTACCTTGCAGGTGAACTACATCTCCACAGCGCTGCTCTCTCTGCTCCTCCTGCCGAACCTGCGCTTGGGGTCCATCACTTCTTCCTCACCCTCCCGCCTGTCCATTTGTTCCTCCGATGGGCACTACTTCGCCATCCCGATCTCCACTCTATACAATAGCGAGAATGGCATCCTTGGCCACCTCAACGAGCCCAGTAACTTCTCCCACCGCACATACCCCACCTCCAAGCTCCTCGGTATCCTCTTCGGCCGCGCGCTCAGTGAGAAACTCGATCCTGCGGAGGTCCTCGTCACCATAGTTAACCCGGGAATCGCCAGGACCAAACTCTTCCGCGACCTCGGGTGGCCGTATCGCATCTTTATGCGGCTTTTTGGAAGGAACGTCCACGCCGCGGCACAGGTTGTGGTTCAGGGCGCCTTGGGCGGTAGTGGCGCAGTGCATGGCGGGTTCTATTCCGAGGGGAGGGACACCAAGCCGCTGTCCGAGGTGTTCTCCGAGCGGGGGAGGGAGTTGCAGGAGAGGCTTTGGTCCGAGACCCTGGATCTGCTAAGGGCCGAATATGAGGGTAGCGCTTCTGCGCCTAGCCAGGTTCATACAGTGTGTTGAGGAGGAGGAGGATGACGGAAGCACTTGCTACGGGAACGGAACGAGAAGATGATTCGCTGACCCACCCGGCAGTTCCGAGTGCGAGGTCCGGGGTACGGCCCGCTCGTCCGGACCCCCCGTGCATGTATCCCCGCCTTTGTATTCCCAGTTGTTTCCCCCGGACAGAGTCCATATATAGAATATCCATAGTCCCTAAAATCTTCACTTTTCACAAAGTAGATCACAAAACTCCTTTGATAGCACAAGCCCCGAATTCCCCCCGTAGCCTGCAACCCACATTATCCCCTTCTCTCTCTCTCTCTCTCACCACACCTACCCGCAATCTTTCCTTAGTGATGGCTTGTGCGCTTAGCTACGAAATTATCATACAGCGAGGGATGCAGATTATATATCACGGATCCTCACTCGAGCACGTGGCAGACGGCAAATAAGGCATCATAACAGCCAAATTACACAGCTACACCCCCGATATCGACATCCATGGACCGGAATGACCATATATGCTACCGACGATAAGATCTAGTGGTGGCCCCCTAACCCACGGCGAGACGAGGGACAAAAAATAGAGAAAAAATGGAGAAGACATTTAGGGAATAAGCTCTTAATGCTGTTCCTTGCTCGCCAATTCTTACACCCCACTACCTGTTAAGTACGAAAAATATTGTAGAGAAGGAAAACCTCTCCTTTGATTATCAATGGCTCATTATCCCGACCATAAGCATGTGTAAGACGAGAAAGTGTGAGGGAAAAGAAGAAAAACCGAGAGACCTAACGACGAAAGTGTGACAGTAGTCAAAGGCAAAAAAAAAAAAAAAAAAAAAAAAAAGAATAAAACACTAGAAACAAGACAAGGAAAGGAGGGGGAGGCAAATCAAAAAGCTCCAATGAAAGGGTTTACAGTTTCCCATGCCTAGCTCTAAACACAGCGACTTTATCGTCGTAAAACAATATCTCCCTCAAACGTACTCTAACGCCTTTGTCCGTCGATTTACCAGCCCAATCTTCATCGTCAGAAAGGTATTTATCACCAGCAACTTCATCGGTGTCAGTCTCGTCTCCGTCCTCTTCATCTTCTTCGTCCTCCTCCTCCTCCTCGTCTTCAGCGTCACTATCCTCATCTTCGCTATTGATCGCTATAGGGACTACCGTCATACCAATCGTCGGGGATCCCGGTACACCAGCGGCACCGGGTGGCGCGTGCTGCGCTGTCGCTGAAGGAATGTCGGGTTCCGTTTCCGGATCGTCCGGCCCACCGTCTTCTAGGAGTTCATAACACTTGTTCAGGACGCCGACATAGCAAAGCTCAACTTCTGGGCGGAGAATGACGGTGTTGACAATTTGCTGGGCCATTTCTTTGCTCTCATAGTCCGAAATAAGCGGGCCACCACGAACGTAGTGAATATAGAGAGATCGGAGCTGTGGCATAAGAGGAAGGCGGGTTAAAAAGTAATGCTATAATAGGTCAGAGATCTGAAATCGCAGCAATCACTTGGGAAACAAACCCAGTTCTTCCATTCCATTGCCATCCCCAACTCGCGGAGGTTCGGCATCTTCCCACTGCTAACGAACGCTAGAACTTCCTTATCAAAAATCCACTTTGAGGCATTTTCGCCTCCAAGCCCAACATTGCTGTCAATCAATAGTTTTCTTAAGCTACCCTTATGCCGCCTAATCGCAGACTTGTAGATGAGCTCCATCGGTACCACACTGGAGTAGCTAGGTGTCTCCTGCAAGAAGAGCACCTCTAAAGAATTTGGAGGCAAAGTTTCCCGGATAAAAGCAAGCAATGCCCCGGTCACTGTGTCCGTGTGAAGCTTCTTGAGCCGAATCCTGTACTCTGGCGCATAACCGGTTGGATTACTGGGACGACGCAGGTAGCCAGGCTTACTGATACCAAGATTCGTAGATGTCACCGAGGAGCCGTGGTTGGGATGCGGCGAGAACCTATGACGAAGGGCTCTCCAAAAGCGATCATGATCATGACAGCCAAGAATAGTCAAGTTCGACAAAGCTGCCCAATCAATGGCTCTCGTCAACACCCGAATTGATAGCGGCACCCTCTCAAGCTCTAATGTCTCCAGCGCCAGCTGAACCACCGGCTTCTCTTCCTCGCTTTCAATTGGTTTCATCGGCTTTGGTTTCGGGGCGGAAGGCGCTACTGTTGGCGTAGGAGTGCTTGGAGACTCGTTTGGAAATACAGGCTCAGCAGCCTGGCCAGTTGGCGGTACTGGTGAAAGCACTTGCGGGATAGTTATCGGGGTCGAGGGTAGCGTTGGAACGGTTTGCTGAACAGCTCCGGGACCAACAATGTTGAAAGCCGTGCCGTCGATGCTAGCAGTAGTGTGAGCAACTCCAGTCGTGACAACACCAGGCGCGGCAGATTCGACTTCTACAAACCCATCTAAAGAAGGAGTAGCAGTCGAAGTCCCGTCGACTGGTGTGACAGGCGCATCATCGGTAGGAGGTATGAGATCAGGCCCAGCATTTTCCTGTAAGCCTGGATTTGCAGGAGCGGAAACACCATTCACAAGAGTTACTAGCGCAGGAGTACTGCCTGGTGGTTGCGGTAGCGCTGGGAGAGGAAGAGTATTTTGCCCAGGATGGGTATTTGCATTCTCAGGGAGCTTGTTAATTTTCCTCCGGCGCCTTCCCTCCTCTAAATCGACAGTTCTGCTCACTACAATTCCAAGGGCCCCGCCTACAGCAGATTGGACAAGCGGCAAGGCTTCTCCATGAGGTACCTCATCTAAATCTCTTATCCATCTTCCACCAGGCGGGACATGGTGCGCCAAACCCAGACGTAATTCTCGGAGTTTGTCGACTGATTTTTCCACTGCATAACTAACCTCCTCGAGATACTGCATTTCGTCGATATCCAGCACGCTAAGGCTTCTCAACCCCTCGAATCCTTTGAAGGTAGGGGTCTCAACCCTTCGACTAGGATCTTGAGATGTCGGTGGAGTAGTCTCGGTATTATCGTGAAACCTCACATGGACGTTTTTCAGCGTCCCGTTAAGGTCATGCAGGGCTTTGAAAACATCACGCAGCACCCCGGTCGGCATATCCCAAGAGAACGTCTCCAGCGCTATCATTCTTGTGATCGCCAAACCCACTAAAGTTCCGAGCATCTTGCCCCCTTCCTTGTTGATATTGTACTCCCCCACCCAGTCACCCGGCCCATTCCCCAAAGAGAACTTCTTGACCCATCGGGCATAGTCGTTGCCTCTACGTCCAGAGGCAGTGAGAGTTGCAAGCCCATAGGTCAATGCATCGACACCCGTCCGGTCCCCGGGAGTAGAGGCATCGGGCCAAACTATATCAAAACGGGAGTATATGTGAGGTATCGAAAGGGCATGTAAACAACGACAGGTAAGCGACAGATTAGTCAGATCGTTCGTGTGATTAACCTATGCAAACGTCAGAAATCCGCAAGTCAATCAGGCCAGCCCAGGTTGTAGATGTAGCAGATTTATCGAAGAGAAAGAGGCAAACAGAGATATTTCGTACGATAGGTCTCCACCCAGGTGTGCATGATAGAAACCTAGGACCTACCTCCTTAACAATCTCTTTCAGCACATCCACCGGCAACTCAACCAATGTCAAAGGCGCTCGTTTGGTTGCGGGCTTCGAGTTGATCCCAGGGAGCACCTGAGTGTCCTTACTCTGGCTGACACCGCGATCCGAGTTTCCGAGATCCCTAGTTTTTCCGCCGGCTATATTCCGCTCCTTCTCATTCCCCCTATTTTCCCCATCCCCACCCTTCTTCGAGCCCTGTCCAGGCGAGGTCTTCTCCCCCTCCTTGTCCTTACCGTTAGAAGCCTGGTTAAAGACACTAGGCTTACTGTCTTCTTCATCTTCCTGCTCGCCCTCCCCTATGAACTCCAGATCTTCATCGGTATCAAGACGCCCGTCGAGATCTTCATCATGAGAGCAAGTGTGCAGCGAAGCAGAGGTGACGGGATAAACCGTTACAGTGGAAACTGAATCCACTGGATCGGCCATGACTGGATGTAGCTCCCGAGGGGGTCTCTTCCTCTTCACAAAATGCTAAGCGAGGGATGAGGGCTGAAGGACGGGATAAGGTTGTAAGCAAGAGAAGGAAGGATAAAGGAGGGGTTGCGGAAAGGCGAATGTGACGGGTGAGAGAGTGAGTGTGCGGGAAGCCAATAGCAGCAAAACCGGCGACAAAAATTTGACCGGGAAGCTGATGAAGGGATAGATGAGGAAGAGGGGCAGAAGGGTAGACTAGGAGAGCAACGCACGGGATTAAGTAAATCAGCGGCAATGGGAGGCGGACGCTGGAAAACCACGGAACAACCAGTGCAATGACTTTCTCTCCAGTAACAACGAACACCGAACAAGAAAGCCGCCGTGGAAAAGGTAAGCTGCTAAGGAGGGAGAGGTGTATGGGGTGGTGAGGAGTGTTGAGTTGGGGGAAGTCGAAGCCGAAGTCGAAGGTCGGTGAGGTGAGGTGATGGAGAGAGCTGGTTGTTTGAGCAGAGGAACCTTGGGTTACGGTAGCAGCACCGCAGCAGCAGTTGTCCAGGATCGACTGGCCTTGATAGATGAATATTTCGCTAGGTTATGATACTATAAGTTAAGTTAACTGGTATGATATTGTAAGTGTGAGCCTCTCATCGTGAGCTGGCGTAAGGATCACTCATTGATTGGGAGAGCGCTGCATCCTATGCACTGTACTTGTACCTTCTTCCTTCTTCCCCTCACCCTGTACAAGTTCCATTATGGCTTCTGGGAAACCTCAATGAAAATAAATACACAAGATCAACACACCAAAGAACACAGGCAAACATCAAGCCCCGTTTGACGCTACTCGTTCAGCACAATACCCAATTGATCAAGATCGAAGAAGACGCATAGAAGGCTGGGAGGACCAAGGTTATTGGCCCCTTCAAACCCGAGCCTCATCTACCATGGCACTGTGCAGTGCTGTGCGATAGACTACGGCAGTCTCCCTTGTCTTCGTGCTTCAGTGCTACAACCTGACTCGACCATTCACCCACCCTCAGCTGGCTAATGAATTAGTCTGGATTATGATGGCTGTGTGGTATCGCTGACCACCTGCCACCCGCCACTCACTCACCCATTTACCACCTTGCAGTTCGCCGTCAATTCTGCAGTCTAATAGCTACCGCTCGCTGCTCCGGCCCTCGCCCTGTTTTTTCCGCCGCCGCCGCCATGTAGCAGGTAAACTACGGGTAGAGTGCGAAAAAAAAAATCAGATTCCCACCCTATCATCCATTCCCACCCTTCATCCAGCCCAACCGAATATTTCTATCATACATGGCCAGCCGTGTAATTGGTGATAACCCCCATGTCGACCCATGGCTCCCCTGATGGCTTCGGGTATCGATACCGGTACAGTGCTGTACGTGGGATTTCTCATGTTGCTCTCGTGCGCAGTAATTGCTTCTCCAGACAAAGAGCACAAAACAATCCAAAAACACCACCTTCCATACAAACACAGAGCAGACCCCACAAAGCCCCACGCAGAGATTTCCAATTCAGGCATAAAACTTATTACATTTAGTCTCAGAATGGACCCCACCACACTGAAGCCCACAATACCTAGCCGAACATTTCTGACACTTGTACTTGCCCCAGTAGCCGCAGATCTCGCAAAAAACTCTCTTTGGCCTTGCCGATGGCCTGGAGGCGGAGGCAGCGTACCCAAGCGGTTGTCCAGGGTCCTGAGTGTTCACAAGGCCTTCCCTCATAACCCCGCCCAAATCCATTCCATCTTCCTCTTCCACGCGTTGCCTGTGCGCCGCAGCAGGGATGGGATGGAGAGCCTCTTCATCGGCAAGATGGTTCGCAAAAGTCTTTTGTGAGGCTAATATTCGACGAACGTTCTGTGACTTGTTCCGGGAGGAAGCTTAAGAGTAATTGTCAGTTACCCTCACCCGACCCCCTGGTAGTGATGGAAGGCGTACTCACACCTCCCCGCCACACCGCCCTTTCCAACGACTATCGCAGCATCCCTATAGTTATCCCTCTCGAGGTCGAGGATCCGACTATTTATCTGCTTTTGCCTAGCAGCGCTGTTTTCCGTGTTGTTTGCGCGTTTGGCACGTGGTGCTCTGGGCGTGTTGCTCGGCAGAGAGTTTGTATGAGCTAAGGCGGGAGGCAGATTCGAGTAAGTCCAGTTTGCACCGCTGCTCGTCGAGGTATTAGGGAGGACTTGGATTGTTGGCATCCTTTATTGTGGGAGCCGGAGGAAAGGTGGAAAAAGAATGAGGCTCTGGTGAGAGCAAGCAGCAACTGACGAGTACCGATAGACTAATGTACTCGAGTACAGTGAGGCAATCGGTGGAGCACTGGAGAAGTGGCGATAGCCGTGATGCCAAGATCTTTCAGGGCAACGGATAAATGAGATTAATATTCAGTCGATCCCAACTTCTCAAAAGAAGCCGTGCATCACTACCCGACACCCGGAGGATCTTCTGGAGCACAGCGCGGTATCATTTAGGTGTCATGCTTGTAAGAGTCCTGTATCACAGGTAACAGATCTTGCCGCACAGTGTAATGCTGCTTCGATTTCGCTTCAGAGCCAGAAGGGACTGTTTGTAGGTTTATAGTGGTTCAACCCGACCGATGCCCCCCACCGCCACCACGATCGATAAGGTACGACCGTATTCATTACGCTGTACTAAGGTTAGTGCGATATGGTAAATGCCACGATATCAGCACTGGAGAGACACCCGCTTCATGTCCGGGTAGGTGAGCACACCATTCGGTGACTCATTCCATTCAACCGCCGTTAGAGATCCGCCCAATCCACGTCTCTACCGTACTCGTACCGGTAACCTACTGATACCTACATTCAACTGTGCCCTAAACGAACCACTGATTCTCACACCGGTGTATGGTGGTTATGAGTCCCTCATGTGACTCCGGGATTTTATTCTATGTTTCTCGCAGGTTGTTGTGCTATCATATATTATCATATCATACACATTTCAATTTTCCCTGCTCGCTGGGGGTCGTGACATGTGACATAGATCCGAATACTCGTAAAGTTATAAACGATTGACCACTTGTGATCGGTAGCCTGTTCTAATTAAAACCCTAAACCCTGGTTTATCTCCCCTCAAGCTTTCCACCGCCGTAATTTTTCTCACTAGGACTCATCTCTTACTCACTTATCCCCACCAACCCCACTGCCCCACAACCATCATCAACCTTTCGCTCCCGCCGCTACAGGTCATTCAATTTATCCCTGCAATCATGACTGACACTGAGGTCGGTTTCTAATCATTTTCCTAGCTATTGTGTTGTTTTCTGGCATGTGCTCACTTTTCATAGGAAGCTCCTGTATTCGACCCCTCGCTCAAGAAGAAGAAGCCAAGAAAGTCGGTTGCTTTCGAGGCCGAAAACGGAGATGAAGTTAACGGGGAGGAGAAGAATAATGCTGAGTCTCAGAGCTTAGGTTCGCATACCCCACTGTTGTATCCACGGCTTACTGTCTCCGATTGTATCTTGTACCGCTGTTGCCGTTTTTTTTCCGGCACAGCGACGGTATATACAGTGTGTCATGTGGCTAACGAAACAGGAACAGCAGAAACTGGGGAAGGTGGAGAACAAAAAGAGGGCGAGGAGGGCGCTGCCGAGATGTTCAAGGGCAAGAAGAAAAAGAAGGTCAAGAAGGCCGACGACGATGATGACGCCCCAGGGGATGTCGCCGAGTTTGACCCCACAGCAATGAAAAAGAAGAAGAAAAAGAAGGTTTCCAAAGAGAAGGCTGAGGGTGACTCTTTCGATGCAGCCTTGGCCGAGGCTGGTGTTGTTCCCCGGGGTGCGGGCGAAGAAGGTGCCGAGGATGCCGAGCCAGCCCTCCCGGAAGATACTGGAGACCTCCTTCTTGGGACCGGGGTCTGGAATGCTGCCTCCACTGTCGACCTCACCTATCCTCTGCTTTTGACTCGATTCTTCACTCTGCTGCGCTCTCAGCATCCCGATCTTGCTGGCGATGGCAGAAGGAGTTATAAAATCCCCCCACCACAAGTGCTTAGGGAAGGTAACAAGAAGACAATTTTTGCGAATATCAGCGATATTTGTAAGAGGATGAAGAGGGGCGATGAGCACGTTACTCAATTCTTATTTGCCGAGTTGGGTACGTCTGGTTCAGTCGATGGTAGCAAGAGGTTGGTCATTAGGGGCAAATTCCAGCAGAAGCAGTTGGAAAACGTTCTTAGGCGTTATATCTGTACGAATCTTGCCCGCTCTACAAAGCTTGGTATAGAAAATTCTAACGGCTCCTGTCACAGTGGAATACGTTACCTGTAGAACCTGCAAATCCCCTGATACGGATCTTAAGAAGGGAGAAAACCGCCTTTTCTTCGTCACCTGCAATAGTTGTGGATCCCGGCGCTCCGTTGCGTACGTTCTCCCCTCTCCCCGTACTTGTGCTCACCCATTAATCACGCCCCAAACAGCGCCATCAAGACTGGTTTCCAAGCCACCGTCGGCAAGAGACGCAGACAACAAACCTAATTCTCCCCTCAACCTTCCGAGAAAAAAAAGCGTCATCGAAGGATGGTATACCTATGGATTTGTTTTGTGGTCGTTGGACAGGGTTGAAAATGGGTAGGAGGGGGGAGGAAAGGAGGGGAGTATCGGTTGCGTTAGTTTTTGGGCTCTTGAACTTCCCTGCAGGCCATTCTTTTTTACTTTTTTACTATAGTTGATACTGGTGGTTGCGGAATGACGAGATGATGTTTTCACTTTTTTTCTTCTCTCCCCTTTTTCTCACCCTTTTCATTCTTCAGCTGTTTGTGAATATGGGGGCACGGTGGAGAGGAGGGTGTAAGTGGGGGGGGGGGTGGAAAATTACGTATACAATTAGAGGCAGAGTTGTACCCAAGAAAATGGCAGCTTTCCTTTTTCTCTGGTTTTTCCTTTAGATTTATTCCTAGCGCCGTCCATTATTCCATTCGGGGCTTTTTTTTCACTTCTGCGATCTTATGAGTTGGGCGGAACAAAACTTCAATGGAGGGTATGTGCTACATACAACGCCTTTTCAAGGAAAAAAGAAAGATAATCATGATTCATCCCTTCCTATCCCCATCCATCTTTCCCAAGCAAGAATTATACATGTGCCGGGCAGCGCGGGATGAGTGGGTGGATTAGATTGCATCGAACTCAAAGTAGCAATAAGCCGAATATTCAGTGTCACCCAACATTCCGGCCGCGAGGTCTCCAACATCGTCTTTGATGTTCCCATGCTTGTCCCTGCCGAAGGCGTTACCACCGAGGTAGTTGTAAGCAGCGTCTAACTGGGCCTTTATCTTTTTTGCATGCTTGGTGTTTGTCTATTCGAACCATTAATACCTCGATGATCCCGCATGGGGGAGGAGGGGAGCCAAACCTGGATAATAGCGCTAACAAACTCCAAGGGTAGCCCGTACCTAAGCACACTCTCCACGAAAACCCTAAGCGCCTTAACATGAGCCCAAGCCTGAAACAAATCGCTGTACCCGGTCCTCGCTAATCTCAGCGTCTCGCCGGCTAGTCTCCGCTCATGGGCTTCGACGTCCCTAGCCTCCCTCTCGTCCTGCTCCGCCGCCCCTTCGCTCCAGGTGAACTCCCGGGGCGTGAACTTGGCGGCACGAGCCTTAATAGCGAATTCCGCGCTGTACTTCTTAAAGACGACGCAGCTGTACAGGATGAACTCTGAGTCGCGCTGGATCTCGCGCGAGGAACGGGGGACCACCATTGGGGAAAGGGTTTCGTATGACCTGATCCAGTCGCGCTCGAGTTGTTTCGGGACGGCGATTAGTTGTGTTTGAAGGTATTCGCTTGGGGGGACGAAGTCGGATTGCTTGAGGATTGGGGCGAGGGACTTGGTGGAGAGGTTGCCGCTAGATGGGGGAGGTGTTAGCAGGATTTGGATGGGGGATCGAAGAGGAGGACGGGGGGGAGAAACGTTTGCTTGCGTTGGACGGAGGCCAAGGTTGATTTAACCTGCTGATAAGCGGAGTATTTGGTTTTGATGTCGTTGTCTAGAGAGATTACTTCCTGTCCAAATAGTCAGCATAATCTCGAGCTCCCAGATAACGTCCAAAGCGGACCTTCTGTAAAGATTCCAACAACTGGGCAATCGACTTATCGCTCCTGTATTTAAACTTGTTCCACGAGAACCCCTGCAGGTAATCCCCCACCGGCTCTGCCCATCATTAGCCCACACGTGAGCCTGAAGAAATCAAGGACTCACTATCGTTAACAGTCTTATGCCCCTGCGCATTCCCCTCCCCAACCGTACTCGTGAGCACGTCTACAACCTTTGCTACGGCGCTTTCAACGTTGGCATCTAGCTTTGCCAACTCGTCCGCCTGCAACACCAACGCATCCAGCGTGCCGATCTTGAATTCAGGGATGGGGAACCGGTGGATCGAGGCATCGTTCTTGTTCAGCGAGGAGGATACGGCGCCGGTTAGGGTTGTGAAGGCGTCTTCCGGGTCATTGCTGCGCGCGACGGAGGAGGGGAGGGCTAGGAGGAGGTATTTTGACATGTTTTGCGGTGGTGCAGTTGGTGGGGGATTATTTGAGGGGAGTTATGCAGTAATTTAAATGGTGGGAGCTTGGTGGGATGGGTTGGCGGGGAGCGTCATCTCGGCTTGGCATATGGGAGATGCTGCCATTTGGTTTCTGGGCTCCGCGGGCAACGGCGCGGGGCCTTTTTGGATATGTATATCGCTCGTAACATCTGAAGCGAATTACGGAATAATGCAAAATAGTAGAGAAGCACCATACTACTTATATAGCATTAGCAGAATTTCAACCTCTATCCTTAAAGTAATCATTTCTTGATTCTGGAAATAGTAGTTGCATACACAGCCAGATCGGGCTAGCTGAAAGCATCTGTTTTCACTATTTGAGAGTTTATGTAGTAAGACCTGAGTGGTATTAATATAAGTTAACAATAAGGCTTGACTGCCTAGTTCTTTAGTCCTACCTGATGGAGATGTAAAAACCCTGGGATTGGATCTGGAAATAAGGGCCACAAATGTCCACTTTCACTATACTCTTGTACCTCCATTCAGGGATGATGATTTTGTAGCCATTCTTCTTAAGAACAATCCTGACAAGAGTAGCTTCAATATTGGCCCAAAGTGAAACTCTCAATCTATCAATACTTATCTCATAGTAACTATTTTAGTCTCTCTAATGTAAGTTAAGTTTTAACAATGGTCCTCTTTGTTCAAACTAATAACTTGGCCCTCCCATATTTCTAATCAATATACATCAACATGCTAACTCAGATTAAATATCATGTCCACTGAATCCTAGTAGCAGAATATTTTTATCATTTTTTTATCATTTTTTTTAAAAAAAATTTCTACTTTTTATAATTATAGTAAAATCTTATTTGCTTTACTTTTTTTTAATTTTTTTAATTAACATTTTTTTCTTTAAATTCTAGCTAATAATCTTTATATGATATTCATTAGACCAGATCTACATTCAATATTTTAAGTTGTAGCTTAGTTGGACCTCTATAGCTATTGTAGTTTAAGTATTTTTACATGGTAGGCTATATTTTAAATGAATAAATACTTATCTTTGTTCAAGCTAACAACTTGATCCTGCTAGATATCTGATTAAAATTCTTTAACCTGCTAGCTTGGAAGAAGGATTAGGTCTAATTAATCTAGTTAACAAACATTTTTGTCCGAGTCCTTTCTTTCTGCATTTTTGAAAAAAATTCCTAATTTGTACAATTATAAAAACCTTACTTACTCTATACTTTTCTCAATAACAATTCTTACTTTAGGTAATATCTTCTAAATTTTATATTACATACTCTAAAATGTGATGATATTCTTTCTTCCCAGTTGCTGCTAAATTGATCATCTATTGCTATTGTGGTTCATGGTTCTCTATATTATATAAGAGTTGTAAAAATGTCTCATAACTAGGTCAAATACATTAGCTGGCATCACAGGATTGACGAGTGATCGTGAGTGGTGTTTGATCCGTGACCGGGAGGTCTCATGATGCTTGCAGAGTGAAGGGAAGGAATTATCTCCTGCGATCCCCCTCTGTCTCCTTTTTTTTTTCCTTCTCTTGCCCGCTTTTGCTTTTAAGGGCCGCTATACTTGACGACTTGATACGAAACACTAGGGGGTACCTGTATGCTATTTGTATGGGGTACCGCTGGCATCTATCTCCGAGATCGAATTCTATGAGGATGGTCTTCATAAATGGGTCACTACTTTTCACACAGAACTAACTTGAGGAATAGACGTATCATCGCTTGAAGATTAATAGATCCGCTTGGGTGAAGCATGTTAAGGCCTCCTGGTGGCACTAGGGAGGAGATGTCGTGTCAGGGCTGCCAACTGCTGGTTAACCGTCGGCATCCGCCGTAGTGACGCCCGGTGAGGGATGGTAGAACTTGTGGCTACGATACCGGTAGTCCAAGAGTACTGGCATGTACTCGTACAGTACTGGTATTCGTACCTGTCCGGTGCTGCCTGTATCACCTACGAGCAATCCCTGACGTGAACCGGGTAACCGCGATAATTAGCAACATTAGATTACCCGCCTTCGGCGAACAGCTTGGACAAAGCTCCCTCCCCCGAACTAATACCGCCTAAATGCAATCAAAACATGTCCACCACCTCCCCCCCACCCTCACCACCCTCCTCCCGCCCCTCGCCCTCAGCTTCCACCAGCTCCTCAAACGATGACCAACTTCAAACACCCCGCGCATCCACACATCCAACTACGATTGCCCTGGCGGAAGACTACTTCGCTCCCCCGCTTCCCCCGCGCCCATCTCTCGAAGTAAATACATCCAATGTCCTCCTCTCGATCCAGTCCGCCACCTCCAGCGGTGCCAGCACACCGGGCCTCCAAGCGAAACCTACCACCGCAATCTCGCTTCCGGAGGGGGTACACGCGCAGCAACAGGATGCTGTGGTTAATGGGAGCGGAAGCATTACGGGGGCACCATCTTTTAGCGATTCAGTTAGCGTGAATAGTTTGGTGCCGACGCTAAGCGCTGGGGATAATGACGTTGAGAGTATGTTGGGAGAGATATTGGAGGAGGAGGGGGGGTTTTTGAAGGCGAGGAGGGATATCATTAATATTGGAGGTGGCGGCGCAGGCATTGAGGAGGTGGAGTTTTGGGATGAGGGGTGGGATGGGAGTAGCGATGATGAGGGGCTGGGGGAAGGTTGGTTGCTTCATTTTACGGACCGAGGTGGCTGGGTTATTTCGGGACTTGAGCTGACTTTTGGAAGAGGAGTTGGTGGCTAGGTGGAGGGCTAGACGGAAACACTTTTTCATCTTGTCCAGCGCCGGAAAGCCAATTTATAGTCGACATGGAGATGAATCAGTGCTGTCGGGGTATATGGGGGTTATCCAAGCTATTATCTCGTTCTTTCAGGATGACAATGATACCCTCAAGAGTTTTAGCGCTGGGAAACACAGGTTTGCAATTGCTGCGTCGGGGCCTTTGTACCTCGTTGCAATATCTTCAATGGGGGAGTCGGACTCTCAGGTACGCTCAAATGCTTGGGCTGGGGTGTTCGTGGCTGATAGTAGCTAGCTACGCTCCCAACTCGACGCACTATACACACAAGTCCTCTCGACCCTCACCCTTTCCCAGCTGAACAAGATCTTTGCTCAACGTGAGAACTTTGATCTCCGCCGTCTCCTCGGCGGCACGGAAGTCTTCCTCGATGGACTCAGCGACGCAATGACACTCGGATCCCCGCAGGTCCTCTTATCAGCCCTGGAATGCGTTAAAATGCGAAAGTCACATCGTGAGAAGATAAATTCCATCCTACTCAAACACCGCTCTCCGAGTCTCCTATACGGCCTCGTAATTGCGGATGGCAGAATGGTCTCGGTATTACGGCCAAAGAGGCACTCGCTGCACCCCCCGGACTTGCAATTGCTTTTTTCGATGCTATTCAATGCTACCACCTTCCGTGACGGTGGGGAGCACTGGACACCTATTTGTTTGCCAAAGTTCAATAGCAAGGGGTTTTTGCACGCCTACATACATTTTTTCAGGAAGGAGGTGGCGGTGGTGCTCATTAGTGCTAATAAAGATGCATTCTTTGAAATGAGGGAGATGAAGGAGGTTGTTGTTGAGGTATATATACACCCCTCTCCTCCGTTATCGCTGAGGCGAGTTCTAACACTATCGAACAGCAACTCGAAAAGGCCGGTAGTATAAAGATCATCGAAGCAGCGGTCAGCAATGGCCGCTACACAGCAACCGACGTCCTCTCCCCAGGAACACCTATCCGGCACTTCCTCTACAGATCCAAAAATAACGTCCAATTCACCATGCCTTCTTTTGAACCGCATTTTTATACCATCATCGCTCGGCGCAGACTCATGAATCTTTACCAGCGCCTTCACGCCGCGGTCCATGCCAAAAACGCACTCTTGAAGGTTCACCATTGCATACGTAGTTCCTCGGTGTCGCTGTCGTGGGTTACGCCCATGTTTGAATTGTACTGCGTTGCAGTGGCTGGCACGAACCGTGCTACTTTAGTGAAGAGTGCTACCGCGATTGCAGCTTGGGTTAAAAGAGAGGAGGAGAGGTTGTTTATTGGTGGGGTGGTGAGCTCCCCCTTCGTTCATGACTTTTATCAACGGGGAAGTAGGAACTGACTTTTCCGCAGATATTTTAATTTTGCTCCCTTGGTGTTTTTATTTATTTATATATTTTTTCCTTCCCTTCCCTTCACTTGGGAGCACGGGATTGTTTATCTGCGTTAGAGGGGTTTCATCATTGTGGAGTTTTGTTGGGTACCGGTAGATTGTTAGTCTAGTTAGGTTAGTGAGCAGCAGCAGTGTCTGGTAGTAATATTATATCGCATCTATCATATCGCCCGTGTATCCCGAGATAGCTTGCAGGAATGTGTGCCTGGGGAATGGCTCGATGGAGGGGTGAAGCGCGATAATGGTACGGTGATAGTGTTATCGGTGTCAGTAAGGGTCTTGGTGGGGTTTGAGCTGAGGCTCATGTGGATTCTGGGTGGGGCGATTACCGGTACATTATGAGCGCTGCGGGAAGACCATTGAACCCGATGCAGCATGAATCAGGAACCCAGCTCAGCAAACACGACCAAATCCAATGGAGAGCCTGTCTTAACCCAACGCATGCTTCGCCAGTTCTGGACAAACTGACTCTAACCGAGGCTGCCTGACACGTGACTGTTCCGTCAATCCAAAGGCTTCATGGTTTGTGTGCCACAGTACCCCCATTACATATCATTTCCCCACCAATGACTCAATTGTCAATTCTAGCGTCGTCCAAAATCCACTCTTTCTCAAAGCCGCTTTCTCTCATTGGGCCTGTACTCTGCCCCCCGTTCCTACCAAGTTCTTCCTATTATACTCCACCTGGTTTTGGCCAAAAGATGCTACGGACCACATCCACGTGAGGCCCCTGTAGGTACCAGGAGAGAATTAAGCAATACCAGAGACATCTCCACGATCAGCAATTGCGCTCGAAGGAGGATCTTGGTGAGCTCGACGAAAAAGGCTTCATTCTGGCTATCCTGGAAATGAAGCAAACCTTCTCCTTCACAACGAGGCCTAGCTTGCCGGGCAACGCAATCTGGTTGTCTAGAAAGCTGGTGAGCTTTTAAAGCGATCGCCGTATGTCCTCACTTCTTTGATATCCGTCATGCGTCTAATATCTGTATAGTCTATTGCTGAGGCTGAATAGGCTGCAAGGGTGAAGATTGAGGAATCACTTAACATCCGCGGAGCTATAGGTATACAATCCCGATTCCTACCTATTAGTTCGGCACTAATCTTCCCGTTTAGCACGCACTGTCCGGCATGCTCTTAATATTGGAAAGCTTGTACAATGTTACGGGCAGTGCTCCCAACCGTTCGGGGGGGCTGCCGGGAGCCCTGGACGGGGTAGGACGGCTGTGTACGGTCCGTTCGGGGCGGCGAAAATGCCGGGCGGGCATCTTTAGGTAGGGCGGCGGCCCTACAGGATGAAACAGTGGAGGTTAAGGAGATGCTGGGGGCCTCTGGGGACTACCGGGGACTGCCGGGGGACTGCTGGGATGCTACCAGGGACTTTGGAGGACAACACATTATACCACAAACAGCCTCAGAAATGGTTGAAACATTGCGGCTGGCAAAATCCATTCATTCATAGGATTTCAGGCTGTAAGGCGGTAGTCCTCGGTAGTACGTCCAGTCCTACCAGTCCTGGGTATGGTCCACCCTAGAATCTCCGGAAAGATAGACCATAGGGTATTGTCCGCCCCATCCTACCTCAAAGATGGACGGACTGGATGGTTGGGAACGCTGTTCAGGGTTCTCGAACTTGTATGGTATGGCAATTGCAACGGCGCTTGCTGGCTGGACCTCGGCTGGATGGTTGATCATAAACCACCAGGCACCACGCTCCCCGAACTGCTAGCCCACTGTCACACCGACCCCCGCCCCCGTCTGCACGCACATCACCATCCCCGCCACCATCCCTACCGCTGAGTTCTGCTCAAAGGAGATCGAGTGCCTCCAAGCAACACTCAAGGGAGAAAGAGGTAGGTGCGAGTCGTGGGGGGCCCCACGGAGGGACTGCCAAGAGCCCTGGATGGGACGGGACGGCCGTGTGCAGTCCATCTGGGGCTGTGAAAATTCAGGGCGGGCGTCTTTAAGTAGGACAGTGGGCCCTACAGGATGGAACAGGGGTAGTCAAGGGGAAGTTGTGGGACTGCCTAGGACTGCCTGGGGCTACCGTACTATGAATGGTGGGGGACTACCGTGCACGCCGGGGGGAGTGCGGAAGACTGTGGGGGACTACACATTATACCACAAACAACCTTAGATATGGTTGAAACATTGGGGCTGACAAGATCCTTTGGTCCATAGGATTTAAGGCTGTAAGATGGTACTCCTTGGTAGTCCCCCCAGTCCTATCAGCCCCAGACGTTGTCTGTCTTAGCACCCACGAAAAGACGGACTACAGTCTATAGCCCGTCCCGGCCTACCCTAAAGACGGACGGACTGGACGATTGAGAACACCGATTACGGAATTCAAAGCGGCCTTAGTGCTCTATCACACACGGACGAATTTGTCGCTATTCTGGTAGATGAAGCCCCCGTAAGCTTGCGCCCCAAGAAATTACCACTTATCTCCACAGTTTATATCACCAATTATGGGGGTGTGCCTGCAGTAATAAAGGTATCATCACTATACGATCCACCGAGTTTCATGCCAACGAACACGCTGCGCTGGATGTGTTCATGAGGGTTTAGAGTAAGCGAAAGGATCCATTGGGCTGGAGTGGGGAAGCCAAGGCCGAAAAAGAAGGTGGAAGGTAGATGTTTGCGTTTGGTCTTCAGGTTATATTGTTCTGTATCTGCTGCATCAGCTTCGATTTCATATATCTTAGTTTAAAAATGCCCGCTAATTTTCTAGTTATTCTCATACTTCCAAAGTCTTTCCCGTGCCAGAAGTGCTAGGGTATTGCCGAAGCAGTCATGTTTGGAGGATTGAGAGAGGGGCGGCCACAATTTCCAACATCATGTGCAACTACCGGTAGTAGTGATTACACCCACAAAAGAAGTATGATATCATAGAGCACAAACATTAGAAACGTCCTTTTCGGAAGTGTTAACTAGGGCCCAAAATGGACGGACCAAATTCTATCCAAGCCCAAACAGCTTTTCCGGCTATGCTCTACCCACTAACCCATCACCCCTGGCTAGAGCATGGAATCTACTCTAGTACGTAGCAGACCGACAGTGGAAGCGAACACGGTGTTATATGTGGGTAATTAAGAGCTTCATATTAGGAGCATGATATATTATACCACGGATCAAAGTGGGGGAAGGGACGACCGATGTGGCTTAGGGCCTGTTCGGTTTACAACCCATATGAGAGTGCCACCTGTCTTGAAGGTTTCTCAGCGCCCTTTGAAGGGGCGGGAACCTTAGCACAGTTATTTACACTTCTTAACCATGAACTAAATCCCAGTTGGCTTTGTACTCGACTACCGGTATGCGAGGACATGACCAGTTCTGTCAGCGTCCCTGTCACGTGTTATTTAATATATGCATGGTGGTAAAGCTCTGATTACCATTAGCGAGATTCCCCTACGTAGAACACACTATGTTATTAGAGAAATAGCATGCGTTAGGTAGGGATAAATGATAGTTCTGGGAATTTTTTTATCTCGAGCAGAAAAAAATAAATAGAAATCCAGAATGGCTAGCTTCACCGGGCTAATCCTCAAGCTCCTTACATTTAGCTAGTGAAATATCCACCATGCCTTTCAGATAACTCCGATGAGTTTAGCTTACTTTGGTTTATATCTTAATCCTGCCTAGTTCACTCACTGTTTAAATTTCCTTGAGCAAAATCTAAAAAGTTCGCAGGCCGGTGATTCTCTTAAGCTAACTTACTATAGATACCCGGGGATAATGCGTGCTGCGAAGCGGAATCTCGTTATCGGACCGGCGGTCCCTCTATGGAAATGACCGGGCCGCACTATTTGTATTCCTGAAGGCCCAGAATGGGTGGGAGTAAATTTATCCACTGGAATTGAAAGAGGAAGTGGCAGCCAAAAAGTTCATGATAGAGGACAGATTTTCACAATTGGTTTCAGAATTGTGCTCCTTCGTGTTCCTTGCATTATCTCCTATTTGCTATATCTTAGTGCTAAAAGCGTGCCGGTATTTAGATAAATGTAATTCTCCTTGTTTCATGCATAGACCACAACCACTTGAATATTACTAAATAATCCATATTTGTAGAATGAAATGAAGGGCTCAAACTGCAAGGGCTCTTCTATATCGTGGGCTCCTGGCATGCCCACAAAAGAAGGATACACCTTGGACTCTAGCTTTCCAAGGGGGTAATCCAGGCCTGAAATCGGAAGGCCCGAACAAAAGCCAATGAGTATCTGACTAACTCAACCCACCTCAGTCATCCATTGCTCAGGCCTAACTCAGCAAACCGGTTAGGTATACTCGAGTACGTGAGAATCGAATTGGGTGTGATAGTATATGCAAATTTCCGAAGGAGTAAGATGGAGTATAACCTTATATTTTACCCCTCCGAGGAAGTGGAGAGCAATGAGGATCAACGTGACTGAATTGATAACTCCGGGATGAGTGTGGGAAATCTAGTATCCTTTCTCATGCTAAATTCTAGCTGTAGCAATCTCCTTTAACCTCCTTGCTTCTGCTACTCCTGTCGCTCGCGCAGTTTTCTTCGATTCAGGTGTGGGGACTTGTCTCAAAGAACACTGATCTCGATGGCTACGTAGCACTCGTGCATAAAACGAACTGAGTTTAAGGAAGTTGCTATACTCGGGTACTGTGGTTAACCGATTGGATTTTTTGAGCAGACTCCGAACTCCTGTCTGTCCCCAAATCGCAAGTCCAGCATATATGATGCTCCCACAACCAGTGGATGAATGGCCAGTAACACTGGTAGGTAGGTTAGATGACTGATCGAGGCTTGGCACTTGTTGGGTGAGATAGTGGCTGGTATTTGGGTGGATGGCTCCCTATGGCGGGGAATACCGGTACGTTGCCGGGATCATACTGGTATCACACCGCCACTCACCCCACCATAGCGGCTCAACCCCGCCAAACCGAACCGCCAGCCAACCAAGACTATACGCGGAACACAAAGTACGCGGAACACAAAGAAAAAGATGGTTCAGATCAAGGATCTCCCCGTCGAGATACTTACCCAGATAATCAAAGGAGTAGGTACCCCGCCAGTCCTCCCCTCCCAGCAACACGGCGACTACCAAATTTACGATCCACAGCTCCCTCAAGTACCCAGCCGTCTAGCTGCTCTCTGCACAGTATGTAAATCCTTCCGCCTCATCGCAACACCACTGCTTTACTCCGATGTGGTGATCCGTACGACGCCCATTCGCGGTCAGACCCTGGACCCGGTCATGCTGAGCTGCTTCCTGTACGAGCACAACTCGGGCATCGAGCATATCCGCCGAATCACTGTGCGTGGGCACTGGAGCGGTGAATACTTACAGGGGGTGGCGCCGGAACCAACATATCGTCCCGGTATCAAGAATGATATCTTCTCTCCTGCCGTGGTGAATACTTGTTTGTTGTTGGGGATTTTGCTGGAGAGGATACCGAAGGGAGCGCTGGAGCATTTTATGTACGTGTTTCCTTTTGCTTTGACCGGTAGTGGTGGGAAAACTCCCGGGGATGGACGGTGGAATCACTGAAGCGGTGGCTGCCGGGTTGCTTGTGCTCTGGGTTGACCGTTTTAGATGGGACGTCGACGTTTCCTTCTCTTGGAGAGTTATGGAGAAACTCATGAAGTACCAGCCGAACATCCAATCGCTAGACCTGTTCGACGGAAACTGCACTTTTGACCGTCAATGGTCCGAGTTCACCTTCCACTTTACCAAGCTGAAGAACCTCTGCTGGCAGAACTTCGCGCGATATGACAGCATGATGTCGTTCAAGCGCTTGATAGACCTAAACTGGCAGACCATCACTACACTCACCTTCTCGTTGAACAACTTTGAAGAGCTAGTAGAGGATATGATCCGCCACGATGGCGCCTCAATATTCAACGACGGAGGCAGCACCGAAGAGTCGCCAACATTCCTACCAATCGCCAAAAGAATCTTCAAAAAGCTCTTGGAGAAACCAGAAGGTGGAGGGGCCAGCGCTGGGAGTCTAGTGCCGGAACGAAAGCGCCAGATGAAATTGAAAGACTTGGCACTCTGGGACATCCCATTGGCAGGTGTTGCAAACTTACTCACGCAGATAATCGACGTCCCGACCTTGACGTACCTAGCTATGCGCGGCTGCTCGTCCACGGACCAGCTGCTGAACGCGCTGGCGGCGAAGGGGGGCTCGTTGAGAATCAAGACATTTGATATACAATACAGGACTCAACCAGAGGGACTAGTGCAGTTCATCCAGTCCTTCAAGGGATTGAAGAACCTGTATCTGCTACTGGAATGCATTGAGAACACAGAGGAGCTGCGCAATGTTTTTGACAGCATTTTCCATCATGCGGACTCCTTGCGAAGATTGGTGATAGACGCGAAGGAGCACTACCTCTCTGCCGAAAACATCGCTCGGATCCGCTCGGATTTAAACCTCTGGGAGTTGGGCCTTTGCGGAGAAGCTGGCGATCCGGATTGGGTATTACCCCACCTCCGTCTTCCTTGGCTGAACTAACAGCGAACAGACAACAACCCCCCTATACTCGCTCTCTGGCCCGGTCCCCGAAACCCTGGAGACTATCCACCTCCGCACTTTGCGGCGTGGCCTCTACGACACTTCCTGCGACTCTCTCGCGCACGAGACAACAACCTTCCTTAACTCTAAGACCTACCGCGACCGCAAAGCCGACGCAGAGGCCTTGATTGGCCTGCACTCGCCCAATATGGTGGCACGGAATAAGTCGCTGCGCTGCGTCAGCATCGGTGAATTCAACCGCTGGAACGACTTTCACAATAACGGCGCGAGCAAGATGTGGACGTGCTTCCTTGTGAATTACGTTGATGTGGAGTTTGTGCGCGATGTGCCTGTACTGAACCCGGTCAGGATGAATACGTTGTATTATTTGGGGCTAACGAGCGAGGTTCTGTATGTTTAAGGGGGAAGGGGAGGGAGTGGGGTTGTGGTTGATATCCCCGGTGAGCCCGTTGTAGAACGGTCATGGAGTATCACTCGCTGCTCTTTAAATTTACCAGTTATTATGTTATACCTAAGCTTTCCGGGAGGTGTGGGGCCCTGCATCATACGTAGGTGGTTGCATGAGCCGCAAGGGAAGCAGACAGGCGTTCTTGAGTGACTTCGGACCGCCCAGATAAGGAGGGCTAGCCAAACCTTAAATTCTTTTTATCACCCTAGCGACCCCCCTCCGAGAGTGCCGATCGTGCTCAGTTGAATCACACTTCCTCCCCTGAGGTAGTGCTCACAGACCACTATCGCAACTCACAAATAAAAGTCGGCAAGCCGCTCATCGCCGGGAACATTCGCGGGGGTAAACCTGAAGGGCCAAATTACGGAGTATTAACGTTTTCTCTTCAGGGTATCAGTCCTTACCTTTCAGCCTCCTTCCTCTACTAGCACTCGCGACGTATCTCACTACAAGGAACTGCAACTCCGGGTCCTCGTGCGGCACTGGTAGTGCTTGCTGCAGTACTGCGGTAGTGAGAGTCTGCCGTGCGTCTCTCTTTACCACCTCTTTCCCCTCCCCTTCAGTTGCTCTCTTTCTCCATTGCATCCACGGGCTGGCGTGAGTGGGTTTACTTGTCCTTCTTCAAATTCTTCTGGAGGGGAGATGGTTACCGGTGTTTGCATTTGTCTCTTGTTTCTTCTCCATCTCCTTTATTTATTTGTCTGTTTATTTCCTGCTATTGTGATGGTTCATGTGGCATGGTTTCGCACAGTACCATGTCTTTGCTGGGCTGGCTTTGGCGCTGCTTAGGGGTGGTATAATACGTATGGTGGGTAATTACTGACATTTCCCGTTTTTTCGTATTATTCATCACTGGCAACTTCATGGAAGTGGGATGCTAGTGGAAAACTGCTTCTTCTATCTATATTTTGTGGGTTCCTGCAGGGGGCTAGCTGGTTAACTGGAGTCCATGCAGAGCGCATACCAGCGTCTTCTAGCTCCTCCCATCCGTATTCGTCTGTCAAACAATTTTAATTGTAATTAACCGCTTCGTCACTGAGAAGCGTAATATTCTGGAATATCAAGTGGCTGTTTAGGCTTCTACTGACTATACTTTCCTAACCGAGAAGCGCCATATAGGATGCGGAATCACTAGCTACTCTGGCAATAGTATCCACGAGCGGAGGGGTGATTTTGTACATTTAACTTCGAATATTTGTATCGCTCACTTTGTTACAGTCTATATATGCATTATCAACCTTTCCCAACCTCTCGTAATCTAACTACATAGTATTTAAGACTGAGACTGACAGTTTCGGCATAGACCGTATGAAGAGGGAGCAATGACGGTATTGCTGTTGGAGGTTTGGAAAAAAAGTGTTATATCTTCCTCTTCCCCCGCATTAATTCTGTTTAGGACCACGGTGGCATATATCCCGGATACAAGGAGGGGGGGGGGGGGGGCAAAACTTCTAAGGGCAGTTTTCGATTACCTGGACGTCTACACTTACCGAAGGCGAGTGTTGGGGAGTAGAGTACCGTAGTACAGTATATCTCGGCATCGCCTTGCTAGGACTGTTAGTAGAGTCCGTACTACCTCTGTTGGAACTGGCCGGGTGATTCAAGTATGGTAGGTAGGTAGGTAGTCATTCCTCCAGGTCAAGCAAGTCTTGTAAAAACGAAATCATTTCTATCGCTCTCATGCTAGAATTGACGAAGTATTTAGCGGACGGTTTTAGAGAGAATAGCCCTCGGATATCTTCCTATTCTTCTGAAGAAATGAGTTGCTATGAGCATCCCATACTAACTTATTGTACCCTCTCATCAACCTTCCAGAAGCCCAAGGAATAATCTTGAATATCGCGGTTGAGTTGGTGGAGATTGTTGGTTACATGTGGGCGCTTGGATTGGACTCGGGACTCGGGCTCTTGTTGAAGCAGAGAGGGGGGAGGGGGACGGGGCAATATAGACTTGATTATTCTCTACAGTGATTACGAAGCGTGAGAAAGATCACCGAGGCCGGAAGGAAGGAAGGAAGGGAAGCCAGTTTTCCGAAAACAGCGATGAAAAACTCTGGCCTGGCGAAACGGTAGACAAGGAGCATCATGCCCCAATATGACGGAGTAGGAAAGAATCCTCCGGATCACACTTGTATCATGGGCGACCGGATACATACACCGGAAAGTCTATCGAGTGACGATGCGTGAGTTTTCACACATGGGAACCGGCATACACGAGCTAATTAACAATTGTTGTGAGCAATATTTGTACTCGTAGGGTGCAAACAAAGCAGCGAGGAATATTCCCATTCGGGCCGGGGGAAGTCCAAGTCCCTTCAAGGGATATGCGTCCCTCTTCCAGCGCTGGAAGTGTGAGGCGGTTTCATTCCGGGTCGGAAGATGTGTCTCACACTAACGGGCGCTTCTCGTAGGCCGCCCTGGGTTACTCCATTCCGCGAATTTATAATTCTTGGGGAATTTCAGGTTCATTTCGTTCATGACGCGTGTTCAGATGACCTACCGGTAAAGGGGTTGACACTGATGACGAGAATAGTCTGATAACGAATTTTCCGGTAAGGGAATTGATCGGTACAGTAGAGATATGATCAAATTTCCGGCAAAACTTTATCAGATCGTCATCAGACTGTGCTCGTCATCGGACCGTCAGGCACTTTATTTGTGAACCTTTTCCTTCAGAATCGATTTTAGCCGATGTTAATTCTCAATCTGAGCAAGGATGGTTGGCCGTTGTTCGCCTTTGTCCAGCTCCGAGCGGTGGCAGAGCCAATCTTGGCAATGCACTCCTTCCATGCTTTAGTGCACAGTAAATACGAAGTCTCATGAGTGCGAAATCCGGTATTTAAGAATATGAGTTGGTTGACGCATCTGTTGGACTGCAGGGTTTAGGACGGTGGATGAAAAGACTGCTGCGGCTATGGTCTTCGCATGCAGGTGTGTTCCCAACCCCGCAATGACCTGTACTGTACACCGGCTTGCTTTTCGGCATTAAAGACAGGCTGCAGACATGGCACAAGGTCTCAAAACTTGTGAGTTTCGGGGTTGGGGAAGTGGATTCCTTACCGGGATTAATTGGTGCGGGTCGGAGGAGGAAATGGAGCAGCTCCTGGACCGTGCTGAACTTACATAGAAATTATCTGTGTACTGTACATCGCAAACCGGGCTGCAGAAAAGCTCTACGAGTAATGCAGTATCCCGACCAAAGACCCTCCTGGACGGCAATAAGCTCGCGGCACGGCAGCGGCGGGCTTAGAAGCCCTGTTTTGATCTTGGGCAATGAGTTAGTAGCGATGAAACTAGCCCGGGATGGCCTTTTTATCGGTAAAAATTTGCCCGATCATGGAGAAAACCAATGGACTTCCTTCCTTGCCTGCGAGTGGGAATTTCTTTTCCCCGACCTCTGGTTATTTCCTGCGGGATACAATGGGAAGGGCTTATCTTGGGTATGATTTTTGGGCACTCTGTTAGAGCCGATCCGCCAAAGAAGGTATGAGGGTTTGTAAAGCACTGGTACAGTATGATCCCTTGGGCGGTCTGAAACAATGAAATCCGTTAGTCAGGAGCACTAAGGCTGGATTAGGTAGTGGCTTGCTGTATTAGGTCGGAAGGTACCATTTTTCGGTTCTGTTGGTGCTTAAACAACTCAGCAGCAGGGTTAGCCTGAATATTCTACTCGAGTACAGTAATGCAGTCGGGTGGCTCGAATCTTTCCAAAACGGACCTGGTGTCCCTGGCAACGAATTTCACTATTTCAGACCGCCCAAGGGATACTTGTAACGGGTACTAGTGTCTGGGGTCAAATGAGAAACGGCTCGCCGTCTTTAACATGGCTGCGAGATAAGTGAGAATCTGGTTCCTGTGCCTAGCTATTTCTGCCCAAGTACAGTACTTGCCATAAATAGGCACACAGGCTCAACTGCTTCGTCATATCATATGATAGAGATACCGATATCAGTGCACTTCGTTAGTTGCCGGAGGCCTCTCGCCTATAAATACGGCTATCCGCTAAAAGCAGGCCGTGATGCGGGAGACAGTTCTCCGAGGTCGAGCAAAAGCGGGTGGATCTGCTATCGAATTTGTAAGACAGACAGACGATTAGCGCAACACTTTATTGCGCACTGGCTGCCCTCTCACAAGGTAACGATTGGACCGAAAGTGCTTATATAGTGTGCCAGACTGGCCCTAGAAGATCGCCGAGGCCCCTGTAGGAAAAGCCGCTAGGAATTCAGAGTAGTCGGCGTACTACGTGTATTAGCGCGCGATATGCCGGACACACAAACCTCGGGGATGATACAAGTTTCAGTAGGTTTCCTCCTGATTGGCATGCTGCGCTTATTTCCAGGGAGATAATATTATGGCACTGGAAATTCCAAAATATCCAAGTGACCCGATTCTGGTGTCTCAGTGGTTCAGTTTCTACCCCTAATACCAAGGATGTGCCCATGCTGTGAAATTTCCCCCTCCGATTAGCGAGGATATATCCTCTAAACACGCCCCTCAGTTATATTTAGAGTTAAGAATCACGAATGGGAGAATACACGGTACGTACGGTACTGAGCCCAAAGACTATCCCAGTTAATATAGATATTTCAAGCACTACCAAGACAGCAGGGCTACAAATATCAACGGGGTGTTACTTTTGGTCGTTCATATCGATCCAAAACTTTCCCACTTGACTCGAAAATAAAATAAAAGACTAGGACTGCTGCTTGCCTTGGGACTGGATCTCCGGGGGGTTAGCCGTGGGAGATTCTCCGGGAAGTAGATCTCGGAACTTTACATGCCCCGATCCAAAGTGTCTATCTTCGAAACTGTACTCTGTGAGTTTGTCCAACGGTGCCCCCTCTCCCCTAGTAATTCGGGAAAGTTGGCGCGGCCCTCCAGCTGACCAACGAGATTTCCCATGCGTTCTGGAAGGCATGGAGGATCGTGAGACCAGCTACTTCAGCATATGAGCTACTCGCCGGGGCTTGGTTAGAAAACGTGTACTCGAGGACAGCCGATGCCACAATATGAGAGTATTCGAGCTCAGTATCCCCCATCCAGATCCTGCTTGAGGATCTTGCACCCCTCACTCGATCGGGATCCCCCACCCGGCCGGTAGAGTTGGGCATGTGCTGAATTCGGAGGGGTGCCGGGCTGAAATACTGGCTGATACAATAACAAATGTTTTCCTATTGGGGGAGTTTAGGTATGCGTTAAATTGCTGATATTTAGCACCTAGCTACCATAGTTAAGGCTGGAGAAGGCAATATCAAGAATACTATTCCCCTTCTGGGGAAAACTAGGAAATATCGAAGACTACTGTTTGTCAAGAGGGCCTTGGAGAGAGCCAGGAGTTAACGGCGAGGCTCCTCGCCTTGTGGAAGGTCGGCTTCGCGGTCTTTAGGATTCCGAAATTGCTCTCGAGGCTCTCCGCATTAGCCTAGTATGTGATAGCAGAATTTTTGTGGTTCAAAAAAAAAGGAAAGGGGGGGAAGTTTATGGAGGCGTGATCGCCGGGCATCGGTAACTGGACAGGGCGTGATGACCCAGGAAAAAGTGTCAACCTTATTGTAGGTTAAGGTTCCACAATTTTGTGGATCTGGAGCGCCTAGGCCTCCCCGTTGTGTTTCACCAGCTCCACAGTTCCGCTTTTTCATTAATGGCCCCTCATCTTTTTGTCTCTCATTCCGGCGAGCTACTACGGTACGGTAGCTCGTTTGGTTGTGGGAGGAAAATCACGGTGTCAACCGTGTATTTCTCAAACCACCGTACCGGTGCCCCGGTGCTACCGGTAGAGAGCTTGCCCACCAGGATCAATTCTTGGGCAACTCCGGGATTTATCGGTAATCTTCAGACTTCGTTTGATATGCTATCCCATCCCCAGCATAGCGATAGTTTTGTGAGTCAATCACAGTGTGTAAGATCTCCAATGGCGCAGTTCTGTACCGGTATCTCTAGGAGCGCTGTTTCATGTTTTTCTCTTATCATAGCTAGAGTCGATAGGATACCGCTCTCCGCGACTTCCCCACTCCCCTAGGGTTCGCGATATTACTGTATGAATTTAAATCAGCTACCGGGAACCGATTAACTTTTGCTTATGCTGCTTATCGGTGGGTCCGGTACACCCTCCCATTGCAGATAGATGGGAAGCACCATTCCTCACAATCTCCACTCCCCCATAGTTTCTGCCCTGTGCTATGAGGCTAGATAGGGGAGGGGAAATTGAACTACGTTCTATCAGTTTCTGTACCGTACTTGTACAGTACTGTACGCGGAATTTCACAACGGCAGGCCTATTGCCATACCGGTCTTCTTTACGTTTGGGGTTTTTCAGAGGGGGAGCAGGGCACGGTGGCGCGAGTCAACGCCTTGACCCACACGGTATGCCTTACATGACACATCTGATTGGTCGCAGGCCGCCGGTGTACTAGTACCGCACTGGAGCAGGAGCATCGTAAAGTTCCTGCCAAGCCTGTCGGCCTGATATTCTGCAGGAATCACTTTCCCATCCGAATTTTCCTGTTCAAAATCTCCAAGTATCGTAGTCGCCCCGGGACCCGTATCCGCCAATAATTCCCCGGCCAGACGATACCGGTACGTGTATTTTGCAGGAGCCCGGGCTAGGTACTTGTACTGGTATTCGCCTTGCGGGCGCACTTTGGGCAAAAGTGGGTGAGCATCATACTCTACGAGTACCGTACTGTATGATTTACGACAAAGAACAAATTCCTACAACGCAACAGCATCTCATGCCGGCAGCGCTTGACCATAAGACGTCACTCATAATCTCGGTTAGGCACTGAGGCTAGTCGGGTTGTTAATTTGGGGCTCGGTAACTTGCCTGCATTACCGATACCACAAAAGTGTCGAGGCTTGGCGTTTTAAAAGCTGCGGTAAACTGGTGAGTTCTGGACAGCGGTAAAGGTTTTGTGTCCGGATATGGCAGCAAGAGAGTCACCACCACTGTAAAGTACTGACTGCTATTACGGTATCTATCACCGCACAAAACATTTGTCGCTATGCCTCCAACCCTGCGATCCGGGAATTGTTTGCCTGTTCTTGTAGCATCCTTGATCCGTGAGCTTGCGGATAGGCGGTTGACTCACACGCCGGGATGATTTGTGAGTCAGGAAGCGAGGATCTACTTCATGCAATTATGAGCTATCTCTAGGAGGGGGTAATGTGTGCTCACTTTCGCAAACTTTTCTCCCCCTTCGAAAGTGCCTTTGCAGCTACTTCCGTACCGTACCGGATGGTGGCGGTGGTCTGCCGGAACTGCTTGTTGTGGTGTGACCGGTTGGGACTTCGTGGAATACCGGTACCGGTAGGAGGAGAAGCAAAAGTGCCACCACACCCCGACGAGTTGGCAGTCCGTTTCGTACGGTACAGGTACCGGTACCGTGCTGCGCTCGAGCACATCGGTGGGAGTCATGTAGGATACGGTAGGGATGGTCGTTTATGGTAGACCGGTAATGGGGTTTTTGAGTACCGGTGTGAGCACCGTATTGCTGGCGTCTCTGCCCAGGTGCCGGTACTTCGTACCAGTACAGTACGGTGATGAGTTTTCCCATGAAGGTTGGCTTTGGTTCCATGCCCTCTGTTAATTGGCCTTGGAAAATAAGGCAGAAACGCCAAGTCTCAGCCTTCCCCGGGTCTGACGGGCGAACCAACTCTGTCGCTCTCGCCGTCCTGGGTGAGGCTCTGCTGGGAAGCGAGCGCACCGCGCAGTACGCACCCCTGGCTTTCGTCCTGGTTGGAATGGGGTGAGGGCCCAGACGCACGGGACAAATGGCCAAGGAGGCTCTCTCTACCATACACCCAGACCGCATGCTCCAGGAGCGTTCGGGGCAGCAGCGTCACCCATAGCTACCATAGCTCCCCGCTCCCATGTGCTCGAATACCGTTGTACACTGAACATCTCAGCCCTTACCTCGCCTTTCTCCGTTTTTCTGACTTGCCCTACCAACAACGCCCTGTCTGTGGCGTCGTCATTACCCCTCCTCACCACTCCCCTCCTCCTCCCCCTCCTTCCTCCCCCTCCCTCCCCCTCCCTCCTCCTCCCCTTCCTCCTACCGCTCACTCCTATCCTAACCCCAACTCCACCCGTCACCCCGTCACCCCGTCACCCCTCATCCCTATCTCTGGCCCACAACATTTTACAGCACCACTGTGCCTTAAAGTGCTCGGTACCTTGCTCCCTGCTACCGGTGTTTGTTTGTGCCCGTTACTGTTTGCCTCTCTCGGATTATCAGCGGAGCCTGGTGCCAGATAAATCAATTTCCCGATATGAATCGCAATCCTTACAACCCTCATTCCCGCTCCTCCCCGAGCGAAGATAGTCTGCTGTGTACTCTCCCCACAGAAATATCGTCTGTCTATCCCTGCCCCTGCCCTGGGAGCTGCAGCTAACCGGGAGACTCTACAGTGAGCAAATCTACCGTTCCTTGCCCTATGGGGATTTGACTCGCCTTGCCAGGGTTAATAGGGCACTATATACTTCGGTCCAGTCTCCCCTGTATCGGCATGCCAAAGTCACCAGCTTTGAGAGGTTGACTTTGTTCATTCGTACCCTGAATGAAGTTGCATGCTATGACAAATCCGGACAAGGCGCGGTGAGCAAACACGTAGTCACCTTGTATCTGACCATCGATCCCAATGCAAGCGAGTCAGAGAGCCCGAGTCACAAGAGGCCAACAGCGGTGATACTCTCCAGGATGATTGGAGCTCTTGGAAGGTAGGTTTCGCTGGAGTATTTTGTTTGTGGTTGATTTCGAGTGCTGGATTGACTTGGCTTGAACCTCGACGAAAACATGTTCAACGACAGTGTCACCAGGCTAACTCCGATAACGCAGATATTGTCAGGATGTCAGAATAACCCTTCGTATCTCCAACGGCTCCTGCAATGCACAGCCCTTGACCTCCTTTGGGCAAGAAACATTTCCCCGTGTCTCCACTCTCATTCTTGAAGTAGGTGTTCCCTCGATTTCCCCGAGCAGCGCTTCAGTTCCTCCTGCCCGAACTTCCTATAGTCAAGTGATACCTACCCGCCGCCCTGTTCTTCAGTCTTGGGGTCGCTTGGGTTCTAGTTGTAATCCCAATCCAAAGTTTTGGTCTGGAATTTTCAATGGGTCTAGTTTCCCCGATTTACGAGAGGTAGAGGTTTTGCATGACCCAGGGAGCCCGGCTTCTCAATGGGCAAAACACGTGGAGTTTGGTGAGGAAGATCTCAAAGGGCTGGGAAAGGTGACCAGACTGGTGGTGAATTCTGCCCCAGAGCTGAATGACTCGGTGCTTATGGGTGCACTCACTCGTGCGGAATGCCTAAAACGGCTGGAGTTGAGAAGTATTGTTGGCTTAAGTTATGAAGGTACTGTTTGCACCTCAATTTATAGTCGTCGCTTTCCTTGCTTACATAGCTTCCCAGCATTATCTGTGCTTCTTCCACTTGCCCTCCCGAATCTGACACATTTTACTCTCCATATACCCTCCAACCATCGCTCCGCCCGGCAAGCGAGGGACCAACTCGAGAGTTACCAGCCCCTTGCGCCAACCGGGGAGGAAAACCCTTTACCAGTTCACCTCTGCCCACTCCTCAGAGTATATGGGAGGAATCTCCAATATTTAGAAGTGCATGCACCTTACCTTTGTCGGGACCTGTTCCTCCACGAGTCGGAGAAATCGAGACTTGATGAAGAAGGGGTAAGGACTGATCTTGGAGGTGTCGGTGGTGCTATGCGTTTTTCGCACAACGGGGACCCTTTCCTCATCGATCGTATTGCCCTTGAACACACTATTAGACAAGTGAGAAAACAGAATGGAGAGAGAGCGTTTAGGGAGGCTGTTCAGTTGAACTTGAAAGAACAGCTATCAATGAATAAGACTAGGGACATTAATAGTGCGGGTGCTGTCAGTACTGCTGAGTATGAAGAGGAGCAGAAAAAGCTGAAGCGGACAAGGACTATTAAAGAACAGGGTTGGCGCAGATTAATGAGATTTAGGGAGGGAATGTGTCGGGATGGGGAGTCTTGGGAGGAGATTGGAATTCTAGCAAGATTGGAAGAAGAGAACGTTAAATGGACTTGCATAAGTGGGTTATCAAATCTTCCCTCTGTACGTTTTGTCGCTAATTCGGCTCAATAGACGATGCTACAAATTTGAGGGCGACCTATGTGAATGGAATTGGAGGCGAATACCAGTTGCGCGCAGACTCTCCCGATCCAGCCGAACCCAGTAGAGCTTTTGGAAGGGTGAACACAAGGACCTTTATGTCGGGTCACGATTACAACGACGATCTCGCCGGTGGCGAAGATGGCAATATTGCTAGTGGCGATGATGTAGACGGTCATTCGATTTAGGGGGTTACTTTACCCACTTCTTCACAACCGTCCTTTCATCCTTTGCTTTTATCTGTTTACCATGGTCGGGGTTTAGGCGGAATATTTGTTTCAATTTTTTGCCTTGACGAATTTCTCCTTTTGTGAGCCTTTGTATTAGGGATGAAATGCACCCGAGGGGATTTCGATATTGTGTAGGGGAGGGATCCGGTTGGCCGCTTTTTAGCGTGGTAATTGAGCTTGGGGTTGCGATTGGAACCTAGAGTCCGACCTTGCTTTTCTCTTGCGATTCCACTGGAATTTTTCTCCAAGCAGCGACCTCCTAGAGGCGATAAATTAGTCCAAAACACCATTGTTTCCTGAAATAAACTACACATCCTGCCTAGCTAGCCAGCACTAGAACATGAGCCTTTCAGGTATATACAGGTGTGCAGTCACTTCAGATCACTCGCCCATAAGCCAATCCTGTGGAACTTAAAAGTGGTCTTCCAACTTGTTTAGTCTACCGTGCATTACCGAAAACGGATAAACAGTCCGGCTCAGCTGTATACACCACAGAAATTCTTCCTCCAGTGATACCATTTCCTTCCGCCCCTTCGGGTGAGTTTGTAATCAACAAAACGTCAGACTTCCGGCTTTATGAATCTTTTCCCTTTGGGTTATCCAACAAGCGAATGCTGCTTTAGGCATTAGGCATCGTAAGCGATGATTGAGAGATGGATGAGTTGGCGGTGGCTAGGGTGAATGTTCGAGTTAAGGCGTGGGTAGTGACGATGCGATGCTTTGGGAAATCTTGCGACAAAAATTACTTTTTGCTCGTGTGGCATGTATGCTAGCCAGTGCTTCAAAAGACATTCGATGTCCGGGGGCGGGCATGCGATCCGTCGAGGGTCTTGTTTTATAGTGGAAGAAGTTGGCTCATTCTTGTTTTGGTGATTGGTTAGATTGCTTGTCATCGTGCCTACACTACGCTGGCTAGCTTTTTAAGTATGATACCAGCTTTCCACTAGGTTAGATGGGAGCGAAGGGCAGATTAGACCGTGTGAGGGCTCAGCGAGGCGACACCCTCAGCGAGGCGCGGCACGGCTTGGCTCCCTACTGTCGTCGACCGTAGGCAATCTTTGCTGCCAAATATCGCCAAGCCTCGCTGAGGGTGTCCCCTCGCTGAGCCCTCACACGGTCTATTGACTCGCCGTTCCGTACCGGAGGGGGAGCTCCACTGATGTCTCTCCGGAAGGGAGGGCTCACGAATCATTTGGATGGGGTTGACCGGCTGTGCTTGAGTAGGGTTAGGTGTTATCACTTCTTTCAAAAAATTCTCCTTTTGTAGCTGGCGGGTAGGGATTGGCCGGTAGCTTTTTGGGATATCATAGTTGGCGAATCGCGTGGGGGAGTTCCTGGTGATTGGGTCTACAGTATATAGGGCATTTGAGATCTAGGAGAGGGATCACACGATCTGGCACAAGAAGCCGTAGAGAGGGAGTGCGTAACCCCCCCCCCTTATCACTCCTGGTATATAATACTTCACTGGCTGTAACATGTGGAGGTGAGTTACCTCTAGAGTTTCGCCGCACCCGGTCTAATCGACTGACCCTGCTGAAGTTATAAGATCTGTCGCCCAAACCCAACCGGCGTAAACTACGCTTTGACACTTTTAGAGGCCCTCCAGCGTATCACAGATAAAACCTCATTCCGGCATAGGAGGGTTTTATTATTTGGGATGTTTGCTATGTTTTGGGTGGTTCTTTGGGGTGGAAGATATCTGATTTTCTGATTCGTGTTAATGCACTGGCATGCGATATACCACTAAGGATCAACCCGCCTCATATAGCTCGGCAGATGCATCTCCAGAAATGGTAGACAGCTCAGCGCAAGCGTTGAGTGAGAACGTCATGGCATGTCACTCGGTGTGTGTGATATCTGCTCAGTGTCCTGTAGGAGGAGCCGTGAACCAGTTTATCGGGGGGTTTTTTTTCCCGCCGTATGGGCACGAGAAAGTGTAAGGATACTTTGTAGTATGAGATTTGTCGATGGGTAACGCGTGGGTATAACACTTTAGTCAGGAGAGGAAAATATTCATACAAAGGCGGGGTCTGAATCTACTGTTAAATTCTAGTGGATAGAGAGGTTTAGGAAATGCCTCCTGTTGGACTGAGGGCTTCATCCTGTTTGTGCAAGTATCGTACCCGATGTGTGCGGGGGTTGTATACCTGGAAGGCGGGTAATGTTTATGAGGCGAGCTATGATACCGTCACATTCCTCAAGTTCTCATCTCATGCTTTTAAATACGATACCCCTCCCCCCCCCCTCCTTCTACCCTTCCCCCTTTCTCAATCAACCGCCTATCAACCAAACTCCTCACAGCAAGTCTTCTCTATCAAGTTCTCACAAACCGCAAGACAATAATGTTGGCTATAATCCTCCTCACTCTCCTCTCCTTGGTTCTTTCTACCTTCGCCATTGCTGTTCCAGTCCCCTACGTCAAAGAGGTCAAATCCTCGAGCGCCTTCAACGGCATCAACGACCACCCTATATGGGCAAGCATCCGCAAAATTGCTGAAAGCCCCTCTCCCAACAAGAACTCCGAAGTTGAGAAGCTCATCAAAGGCACCTTCCTGGACCCGGAAGCCGTCGCCCCAACACAATCCACCTCCGAACCAATCACCCAAGACGTCCATTGCGAAACCAGCAGCACCAGCCCTCTCTACTCGGACTCCCTTTTGCTCGTTTCCATCGTCTACAACCGTCAGGAAAGCACTCACGGATTCGTGTATAATCCCGGCGGGACCTGCACTCAGCATGGCAACTACAGCACTGCTAGGTTCGGCGTCTGCTCTCCGGCGCCTGTGCAGATGAATTGGAGGAGTTTCGGTCACTTCTCGTACTCTGTTGCTGCTGGCTGTGCCCGGAACCTTGGCGCCTGGGTGTCGGGTGGGAGGTATGTGTGGGATAGCAAGATCAATTCTGATGTTAGGGTTTATTAAGTGAGGGAGAGTAATTGGATATGGGTTATTGTAATAAACTCTTGGGGTTCAGACTCGTGAAATTTCCTCTTTCTTCATGGATGAATGTGATGTGATGTGAGGTGTTTGGTGAGGATGCTGTGGTCTTGGATGCCGGCCGGTCTCACGTTCATTCACTTTTTTTTTTTTTTAAACCCGTAATCTCTTCCGTTCTCTCCTAAAGGTTCGGCTATCATATCGTACAGTATCTTGCTACATATTAGGCAACGCCGTGGCCTTGAAGGGTACCGATTGCTAGTCTCTGTCAAATACCCTTCTTGCCCGTCACAGGAATTGTGAGGGGCAAGAATTAAATAGATTTCAGTCATCCGTGCGCACCAACATGCGCAAGTAAGTAAGAAAGAGTGAAGAAGTTATCGCTGCGAGTTATAGTTGTAATGGTCCCTTTCCTTCCTTCCTCCTCCCCTTATGTATGACATAAAAATTTACCGAACGCCCCCCTACAACACCAGCATGAAAAATGACACCGAAATCACAGCGTGTCACTCCTATCTCGATTTTTGACCAATTCCTATCGAAGCAGAAGTTAGAACTACTAAATTGGTAGTGGCGAGAGTTGGTCGAGATCATTTTTGGGTAACTTTGGGTTGAGCCAGGTTGGTCAAGCTGAAAAATAAATTAAAAACAGCAAATAACTCAGCATGTGTGATAAGCACAATAAGCGGGCCGTTCGAACGCGTCCCCCTCACCCGGACGGCTAAACTGGATTCCGGACCCTTTCTTATGATTCGCGAGGATTAGCTGTGGCGGTTGCACTGATGGTCACTCGTTTCGTAGTACCGGGCCCGCTGAGTGGTGTCTGCTCTTGCGGCCTGAGAGGCGGTTTAGAAAGGGAAAAAGAAAAATAGCGCGGAGCAAAGAAAGTCCTTTGATCTATCATGCCTAATCCCACGTCACCTCACTGTTGCACTTCCCTGTCGAGAAGTAGATTCGAAACGCGCAACTCATTGAAGATAGCCGGTGGATGGTCGGTCCTTACGGAAGGCCCTCCTGAAACATGTACATACAGTCACTAGACAAAGAGTCTTGATGATGGCTTAGTCAGCAATGGCACATGAAAATATAACACCTTCAGGCAAACCCTTTCACTTTACACTACTCTTCCAATAACCACAATAATTCTTCCTGAAAAAGCTAGGATGCCACTCTGAGAAAGGTCAGATACTGTGAAAGGCATTATAATTGGTCTTTCATATGTCTTGTAAATTATTTCTACTAATGATGAGCCTGTTAGATTTCTCTCTGTTGGCCATCCAGGTCCTATTTCCATGACTCACAGTTATTGACAATTCTATGTTTTCTTTCATGACTATTCAAGTATGGATCCATGGATCTTATATCTTGAGTTTGTTGTCCTAGCAAGGGCTTTATGGATAGTATGGGTAACTATATCTGTCAGCTTCCCTGGGAATCTCTGAGTATTGGTATGGTGCAAAGAGCCTAAAGGCGGGTCCTCCGGTGAAACGGCATTTCCGTTGCAACTGATCGGGTTTGTGCCAAGACATGCCAAGTAAGATGAAATAATGAACCAGTTTGAAGAGAATTATGGAAAACAGAAGATGAAGAGGAAATAGAATTAATATGATTCTGCATTGTAATAATAAATTAATAGAAGGAAAGTACTTAACAAATTCCTTCTGCCTTGAGATCCTGTAGTCTGTGATTGCTTTTGTTCATCCTTTAGGGGTGGCATATAGGTACTACTGAGCCTGAGTATAGACTCTATTCAAAGTTGCTGTTCTGTTGTCACAGGAATGTTTCCAAGTCTGCTGGTACTCAGCATTAAATATTAATTTATCCTACACATTTACTCTACTGTATTTTTCAGTCTGTTACTAGGTACATTCTACCACTTGTTTCACTCTCACCCAAATTTCTACTTTTCAATCTTGAACTACTTTTTCCTACAATATTAAATAAAATAAAAAAAACGTAGGGTCTCTTCTCCTCTTGAGTAGCTTTATCACCTATGTTTTTTTTTTGAAAATATTTGCTGTTATGATCAACTAGTTCGAGATCTCATTTGGCCTGTTTGGAGGACCTGGTTTGTGTCACTTTGCACCATAGAGTGGATCATGACTGTTATGATAATGAATAAAGAGGGGGATCTGAAGTGCTAGTAGAATTTATCAGAGTTTATTCTTGATTTATGATTTCTCTCTTGGCTATTAATCAATTGATAATTTATTTTTTTCTGCTATTGTCCTACAGTAGCTAATTGGCTCATACAATACTGGTATCTATCGGTACCCACTCAGTGCACAGACTTTGTCTCACATGGAGAGATCACCAATACTTTTGTCTAGTCACCGTATATAGGTGTTTTAATCAAGCAGTGTAGGAAAATATCTACCATTAGCAAAGTAAATACATGTGGCCTGTCCTCCTACAAACCAGAAATTCCTCTTCTGTGCTTCACTATTGCAATCACTCTACCCCCCCTGAATATCCCATCGCCGTCCGATACGATCAAACAGAGGGCTCGATCTTAAATTGTTTCCTGTGTGCGTGCGATTGATGGCAGTGGCACGGCTTTTAGAGCAGTGTCACTACATTTGCTAGGGATACTACCTATGCAGAGTACAGCACCTAACCGCAGGGAAGCTTATTGTGGTTAGTACATGCTTTTTTCATTATCCATCATATCCATGGTACTTCTTCTTCTCCAAGATTCGGTATCCTTGTTGCCCTGGAATGTGTTTTGCTGGTACCGGTTAAAAGTCCTCACGGCAGGGACATATGGATTATCTGGACTGTCATTCTCTCTGATAGGGTTCGGGATGCTCTAGTCATAAATATTCTGAACTTTGCGAAGCACTTTTCGCTTTGCTATGATCAGGGGAATACGTTCTTGAGTCCATAATGGGGTTATCGGCGGAGACCTCAGCGGGTGACTCCAGCCAGTAGTTTTTCCTCGGGCCTAAAACTTACTTAAGAAGGATTCACACTTTTTCTCCTACAGCGAATGGGATGCTGGGATCTTCGCTGGGAACTAGCTTGGTGATTTGGCAGGTTGGTTAGGTGATGCATTCGGTAGAGCGATGGTTTGGCTTCTGTTACCGGATCCTTTCCGTGCTGGTTTGGATATAATGTTCGGGGTTCATTACCGTATGCTAACCAAAGCCAACTATTTTATGCGTCTGTCTCCGGGGAGAAACAACCCTGATCAGTTATAGGTCACTAAGGGAGAGTGAATCGACTAGCAAACAGCCTGCATAAACTCAGGTGGTTAGGTTCGAGAGAGGAATCAGTCATCCTGGGAGAGTGTGCAGAGACATTCATACGCGGGGTTCAGAACAGTCACATTGCGCACTCTCCTCCCAACAGTATCGATGGCTCTATCCCAGAGGTACGCTTCGCTGCGGAGCGGCTGAGTAGAAGCTGGGGCTTAATGGCACCCGAGGGCACGAGGGATGCTCAGGTATAGCAGCGCACCCCGGATTTCATAGTCGCTGGTTAGAATTCCGGAGGACCCGAATTACCAAGGGGATAGAATGCGGAACTGACACTTGTCTCCTGATTACCCTTATTCACATTCTGTGGTAGGCTCTAGCCACATGCACCGTTTTGCTGTGAACAGCACTCGAGTGTCTTCCCATTTCCCGACGTTCCAAACTCACATTTTCCTCTAGGTAATCTCGGATGTTTTCGGATCACTTGCCTTCCACTAGAACCTCTAGACCTCCGCTGGTGGTATTCACTGTACGTGTAGCATAGCACATAATCCCATCCCCTCCATCCACGATTCTGTCTACTTGGATTATTTCATCCACAGAAGAGTGGCCGAAATTTTCTATAAACCCCAGACACTCCTTGGCTTAACACGGTGGTGCCATAGCGCTAGGGAAGAAGCCCTCTCCCGTAGTATTCCCCCCGCTTCCCAAATCGTGACTATTACACCCATTACAAATATAACTCGCGGGGACTACCTACTCTAGCAATTCAAACTGCATAGCTATGAAAAAAAAAAAAAAACTCCCATTAATGGAACATAAATCTACCTTAAGGGTCGTTACACTAGCTCTCCGAAACCAGGAATTTGTCCGGTGGAACTGGGGTATAATAGTGGAGGCTTAGTGCTAACCTCCCGAAGAGTAAATGCAAACAACGTAATCTTAACATCGTGACTTGCGTGAGTATTGATGCATAGATCCCTTCGGCCTCGGAGGTCGGTGATTCTTCTCCATCTGTATTCAGACGGCCCCAGTCTTTCATTCCTCTCCCCCACTGTAGGAACCTGAACAGAAGGTAAATGTGCTTGGATGTTGAGGTTCCACTTCTGAGCTAGTGCAGGGAAAACTCTCCACACTCAGCTAGAAGCTGAGACGAAGGGGGAGGAATATGTGCAGCGCGTTATTAGGAGAGGCCGCTACGGCTTCGTAGAGTATCAAGTTCCTTACGATGTGCCGAAGGGATTCCCGCGTATTTGGATGATACGGCCGGGGATCCGTTTGGCAGAATCACCTAGCCATCTAGCCACGCATTCTTTCAAACTCCCTCTAAGAAAAGAATTTGGATCCTCCTCTCTTCAGCGCCCGACAAATCCCCCCAGACAAACGCAGCCTTCTAACTAGGGCAAAACTCACAACTCTTCTCCACGGAGAGCTAGCCTTACCAGAGCCATCAGTCCCTCATGTCCCAAATATGCAATCCACCGACCGCCTTCTCCCTATTATTGACCCCTCACCGCTCAAGCCCTTCAAACCGGTCCGGTTGATGTCTTCTCTCTCGCTCCCGCTCAACTCGAACTCCAGGTCATAGACCAAAGGACCACGGCAGAGCCATGGCTCCGCCAAAACCGCCAGCAAGGGATGCATCGAGCCGGTAGTGTACGGGACCGACCTTATCCGACTGCGCACCAAGGGTGAGAGTGTCGGGCTGCAATCCCCTCGTGCTCAGTACCCGCTGATATCGGAAGCTTGTCAAAAGCTCATTGACGCGAACTGGATCGCCTCCCAACAGGTGGGGGGGGGGGGGGTATGATGCTATCTCTTGCTTTCCATCGAGGACCTCCCAATAGTGGTGGGGATAGTTGAATGTGGATAAAAAAAAGAGGGCATTGGACCCTTAGACAAATAAATAATTGCCGTGGTAGGTATACTAACATTGTGCTTGCTATGGTGCCCCTGGTAACTTTGCTAATCCGATAGATTGTCTCGGCGAGTGATAAGATATGAGACAAAGTAGTTCCAGTATTCCCTTTGTCTTCTGGCATAAGACGATCCTAGCGCGCAGACCGAATCCCGATGAAGGTGGAGATGGAGGGGTGAATCCAGGAAGAAAAGAAAGAAAGAAATATACGGTTGGAGTGGCTGGTCACTCTAGGGGTGCAAATGGTGACGGTGATGTCTAGGACTGTTGCCACAAGGGGGAAAAGGTTTTCTCTCTTTCTTATAACATATAAGGAGCATCATGGCTGTACAGGAATTTTTGGAAGCAAAAAAGCGAGGGAATTTCTCTCATCCATGTTACTTTTCCCATGCGTGAATTTTACCAAGGGGATGCCACCAATTGGCCTTTTCCCTAAATGGTCACGCCACATCGTTCGGAGGGGGCTTCCACCGGTACTTGGGGTTAAAATGCCTGCAACGGCGCAATATCATACATGCGCGTAGCGATCTAGTGGTGAATACATCTCCGGGCCCTTCAAGTAGAGAAAAGACCCGAAACAGTCTCGCGTTCCGAGAGCCCGTTTAAGTTATTCTACAAGCTATCTGCGAAACCGTACCCAACAATTGGGGTGCAATTGTTAGTGGCCCCGGCGGGGGGGGGGGGGGAGTAGTGTAGTCCCAACTCTTCCGGGTCCTCTATCATAGGCTGCAAGCCACCATAACTTAGTCCCCCTTTTGGAAAAAAGTGGATAGTCCAATAGGTTGATCCCAGGCAATTCCTCACTCTGACGAGCTCAGATCCCTCAATGTGATGGATAAAGCTGCGCACTGGAAGGAATGCTTAACAGCCGCGCGGTGAAATTTACCCAGTAGGGTGATAACATCGGTTGAACGGATGTATATGTTTATCAAATCAATCTATAGAGAGGATTCAACACTCAAGCATTTTAGGGATTCTCTATCACCCCCCACACTCCTGTAGGGAGAAGCGTACCCTAAGAGGGGATGTTACTGAGGGCGCCGAGCGAAGAATTGACAAAAGAAGAGATCCCTAACGCATCCAAAATAAGGCACTTCGTTAAAACGAGGTCCTGCCACTGCATTTTGAAATCGTTAAGGCCGTGTAGGGTCCCTATCCGCAATACCCATACCGATACCACCTGAGGATCCAAATTTCCGGCCCGCGAGGACCCTAGCCACAGAAAGCAGGATCAGCCGGGATTTGGGGGGAGGCGCGTATCATAGGTCATGTTTTCCCACTTGTGACTTATCTCATATCCCTGGGACAATATTGATACAATGCTAGACTAGAGCATCCAACACAGTGCTCCCTTATCCAACCGAATGAGCAAACACTCCTACTATCTTCCCCTCGCAGTGAATAACCCCTGCATGACCTAACTTAATTTCACACCCGAGAAAAACAGGATGGCGGCTCATGCCTCATGCGTCAATGTAATTCCATCGCTTCACCAAACATGCTTTTCCACACACAAGTTAAACTTTGTTATCCGCGCATTGAGTATGTAAAGGTAGTTCCCCCAGGATTACCATCCACGGTTGTCCAAGGATAGCGGTAAAGCTCGCTTTCACGCAGAGGATCGGGTACGTGGAGAGATAGACAAGAAGCGGGCGGACCGGGGGCACCCTGAGTATGATATTGCAAATACCGACCGCGGCCTACCGGGAATGTCGGAGCTTGATGGTCCTCCCCGAGTTCTAGGCTGGAGTATAAATCCAGCAAATATGAGTCAATGAGAGCTTACCATACTTAAATGCGACAAACTCATTGGTCTGGCCCAAGTGGTGAAGTGGGTTTGGAACTGGTGAAGATGTCTTCCTCCTACATTTCTCATTGTCAGATGGACCCTTCCGTTAAGTTGGATGTTACTCCACTCATAAGAAAGGCCAACTTGTGGCGTGAAACTGGGCTGGTTTTATCAATTTGTGACTTCACGATAGTGAATTTTATATCGTTTGTTTGTTGTTATTTGGGGGGTTGAGTCTCTTTTATTATAGGGACTTTTTTCTCAGGCCGTACCTTCTGGTATACACAACCAATTTCTCAGCTTTTGTATTATACCTGCGGATAAATCCGGAGACTTGACAAAAGAAACCCCCCTAGAACTACCGTCCATAATATTCTCCCCTGGTCCCTAAAATCTCTTTTGCACAGTCAGCGGTTTGGGTTGTGCCCACTACTACTAGGTAGATAACAAATTGGAGAAAGACGGAGGAGTATATATACTCACCCAACCCCCAGGACTGACAATGGATTACGCGGGATACAATACCAAGACCATCTCCTGCTCTGTTGAAGTATTAGCACCTAAGTTGGGGTACTCCGAGACTACTACCCATCAAAAGCTCTTCTCTCCACTTGCAACAGCACGGTAGGTCGACAGTATCCAGAGCAGTACTAACTTGCCTCGTCCGACGAGTACTTCCAAGCAAACACTCACTTTCACCACACCCTCCACCCCAATACTCGGCAAACAAAAGTACTGTACAGACCTCGGCCCGCCTCGGGAGCGCAGACCCCACTATAAGAATACTCCATTCATTCATTCATTCCACTCTGTCCACCTACCATAGCTGCCCCCAACCTGCTTGCCCCCCCCCAGAGCATTCAACCCAGCAGCGCACTGAGAAGCGAAGCGACACGACTCCATTTCCAAAGATGGATGGTTTCGCAGTCAAGTTAACCCAGCGATCATTCTCCTCCTCCAACTCCCTTCGACCGAGTACTGTACTCTCATCTAGTTGGATGTATCAATTGATCCATACAAAGATGAGCATAGCGCACTACCCGTCCAATCCTACCCAATCCTCCAACATGGTATCATACCTCGGTAACTTAATGGCCCACCCACCGAATCCATGCATCACGCTACCGCTCCTCCAGCCTCCAAGAGAGGATTAATCACCATCCCAAAATGCCGGTACGGGCACCCCAGCACCCGGCAATTCGCACGGCGCCTACCCGCCTGACGTGCCTTGCTCGCCGGGGGTCGGAGGGGGGTGGAGACGGCTGGCGTTGATCCTAACATGTCGTTAGTATGGCGCTTGGTCCGAGTGCGATGGCCTATGATACTATCCATGATAGTGCTCGGACAGATCTCGACTACAGTGCTCGAGTAATTCATGTGGGTATGGCATCTATCCGCACGCTATTACAGCCGGAAATCCTTCCCTCCCGGCAATAATAACCATTTTTTACAAGCATACTCGTACTGTACGTGTACACATGAAATCACCTCGTGCAGTAGACTATCATACCGGCAGAACGGTCAGCACGAAAGGTTAATGCAACCATAGACTGAAAAAAAAAAAAAGCGCCAAGCCACGGAAAGCGAGAAAAACCCCTGCCACCCGAAAACCGACAGCCACCGCTGGGACCTCGAAAAAACTCCATTTAAGCCTCATGACGTACGGTACCGGCCGGCAGACAACCACCCAGCACAACCCACAACCCACAGCAATGACCGTCAAAAGAGTTTGCTCCCTCTCCCTCTGCCTATACCAATAACTTACTGCTAACTCAACCGCCATAAAAAAATTTAAAAAAAGGTCCATTTCCTCGCGCACGGCAAAGTCCAGGGCGTCTTCTACCGCAAGTACGCCATCGAGCGCGCCACGGCCCGCGGACTCACGGGCTGGGTGCAGAACCTGCCGAATGGGAAGGTGGAGGGCGAGGCGCAGGGAATCGAGGGTGAGGTGGAGGCCTTCTTGAAGGATCTGGATAAGGGGCCGGCGGCGGCTCATGTTGTCAGGTTGGATAGGACGGAGAGGGAGGTGGTGGAGTCTGAAGGGCAGGGAGCCGGGTTCGAGAAGAGGAGGTACAATGGCGGTGGTGGGATTTGAGTTTATTTGAATTGGGAATCATGATTGTTTTATTATTCGTAGGAGAAAAGAAAGTAATGTGGTATAGAGAGGAGATAAGGGAATACACAGAGAGGGGATGAGGGGGGGGAAGGAAAAAAAATCAGCTTTTTGCGCCGTCCCGACAAAGGAAATCTAGACAAAAGGAATGAGTACAGGATTACGCGACGCGAGCGGCGGTAGTAGTAGTAGTACCGGTGGTAGCGGTAGGAGCACCACCAACAGGTTTCCCACCAGTCTTCCACTCCTTCCCGGGCTTCATGTACTCCTCCACGGCTCCACCGTCAACCTCCCCCTTCTCCCACCCTTGCGGCTTCATGAAATCCAACCCCTTCGTCGGATGCGGCTTACCACCTTCATAAATCAGGGCGTACGGGTTCGGGTCCTCGTCCTGACTCAGATTCGCCAGCGTGTGATTGACCTCGCGGTGCTTCGCCTCATCCGCCCTGATAACCCTCAACAGCTGCAACATATTCGCCCCCGGATCCAAACCGAAATACCTGACGGCGATATCCGGAGCGAGTAGGTTCTCCCACTCCGGGATGCGGCCGTTCTCGATGTCGGCTATGGCTCGGGTGTACGTGATCACCGCTTCCTCCTCGATGTAGCCGACGAAGCGGTGACAGGTGCGCGGGGACACGAGGTAGGAGAGGAAGAAGAGATTGAAGAATATGCCCTGCGCGCCAAGGATCATGGTCCGCATGAAGAGCCCCGGCTGACGGTAGTGCAAGAATGTGAGCAAGTGGAGGCGCTCGTTGTACGCTTCTTCGAGGAGCGTTTCGATCCAGGCGTTGTCGCGCTTTAGGCGACGGAGAGAGTGCAAGTGTCTAATCATGCCCGCTGCCATGCCTGGTACGCCGGCGATGGATTCGAGGAATATGAACCTCGCTAACCACTTCTCTGGCGTCATGTGGAAAGCGCTGGTTCCGTAGGGGGTCTTCTTGCCCGAGGCTATCTAATTGGGCTGTTGGTGAACTTGTTTTTCGAGTTATGGGTTGGGGGTGCAAGTACCTCTGAGTCATGTCTATAGCCCGTTGCTAAGTCGAAGCATTTACGCATTACTCGAACAGCTGCCAGAGCGACCCAGTCTCCCCAGGTCTTTGCTTTGCGGTGGGCGATTTTCTAGAAACTTGTTAGTCCTCACACTACCATATAAATCTCCTTCCCGCCAGGGGGGGAAATAAAACTCACGATTTCATCCATCTGTGCCTCCGTGTAAACAGGATGAGGAAATGAGCGTTCCCTAAACTCTTTCAGTGGCCTCTCCTGATTGGCTTTCGGAGTGGTCGCTAGAAAGAAGGAATTCGTAGAGCTCGTAAACTTTCTCGCCTGTCCGCCGTGAAGAAGCCCACAGCAGACGACACGAGTCCCTGGAGTGAAGAGTAGATGTTTGCTGGCCAGGATAGCCGGAGCCGAAGCTCTGAGAGTTGTGGCGGAGAGCATGTCGTAAAGTGTATAAAAGTCCCTGTTTTCCGGAAAAGGCTTGTGCACGGTATGACACCAACACACCCTCAGCAGCGGGAGCTCAAGGTTTTATATACCACATCGAAAAGAAAAAATCAGGGAAAAGAGAGAAACATCCCGGGTCAGCCCTCGCGGCCGGAACCAGGCCTTGGGCTAACCGATTGGTTGGCTGGAGTGATATCCAGAGTGAGGTAGTCTAAGAGAAGGGAGGGCTCGGGGTGGCCCAAGCTGACTACGGTACTACGGTAGCAACTGTAGCAGGATACGGTGTGATAGCATGCCCGAGTGACCAACCAACCCAGCCAAACGGATGAAAGTGCATTGACATCCAAAAACTCTTTACGCTCACAGCGCGGTAAAAAAGAAAAACACCCCGCCGAAGAAAACTTTCGGGGATTAGAATTCCTTTTCCTCGTCGGATGGATGGATACTCATCTTATTGAGGTTGAGTGTCCTTGCCCTGCCATATCGCCAATGCCATACAAGAAACGGATCTTGTAACACAAATCCTCCTCGTACCCGGTTCATACCCACCCCCATCCAGAGCATTCATCCCAGTTTACCGGTATTCCCTCTCTCTCCCCTCGCCACCACAACCTACCATAATCGTAGGCTTTGCCCGACCCTATCGGGAAAGAAGCAAAAAAAACATTTTGCCGCTTTGTTCTCTACCGTATCTCGAGTAAGGACCCCTTCTAGCGCCATTCCAGAACCTAGAAGGCCTAGTCTTGGAAAAGAATTCCTAGTCCGGGACGTCTTGGCGTTCGCCTCGATAATGATCCGGTGCATGGGTCGGGCGCTCCCGGCGTTGGACGGGTTGCAACGCCCCGACTTGGCTTGTTCCCTGCTGGAAATCCTGGGAGGAATCGGAGATGATGGTGTCATGGGGGTGCAAGTGTGAGTCAGACACCGGAGCCTCGGGGGACAATGGGTTTGTCCATGCCTTCTTCCCTCCTGGGTCGGAGAGCGAGGGGGATGTGCCGGCTTTGTTGCATAGAGGAGCTGGGAATTCGCGGAAGATGAGTTTTTCCGTGGGGCTATGATACGAAGGATATGGCACGGGTACGGTAGGCTGGGCTTAGGTATGATAGGGCCTTCCATTTTTTCCCCCCTGTGCGCGGATAGTGTCCTTGGCCGGCTGCTGGGCTTGTGTCGACATCGCTGTCTTGACTCCCGGGGAGGATGACTGGTTCGCTCGGGCGATGACTAATCACGAATTGAAGTCAGCCGCGAGCTCAACGAGTCAACGCCGAGTGAGAGTCAAGGGAAAAACAGGCTCTAGGCTCGGGATAGATGATCGGTGGTCTCGATGAGGGAGCCGGGGGTGAATACCAGTGGTACAAGTACGGTGGGAGATTCATCTTATAAGGTGCCAAAGGGGGCGTTGATGTGGGTGTTGATTTAGCTACCGGTACTATGGATGCAAAGGACGGCGTGACTGGGGCCGGCACCGTACGTTATCGAGACCTGCCACCCGCGCAGCATTCTACCGGTATCCTACTAAGTTATTGCTTACGTTCCCCGACGGTACGACTGCCACAGATCATCCGGGTGAGCCACTGAAAAGTTTCCTCCTTAGGTTTTGTTATCCGGGCGGAGGCCTTGGGGTCGTCTACCGGTACCAGTATTCCGCCCCACCCCACACGAACACGAGCGTGTACAGTAAGCTTATACAAGTCTTTAGGATTCGGAGGCCCTCGGGCCCTCCTTTCCATCACGACAATGGATCTGGAAGCACGTCTCGCAGCTAGAGGTACTATACTAGTGCTTATGCCTCAGTTCCGAGCAATCCCCCCGCCGTATTCCATTTCCGATGAGCTATAGGCGGGTATGACCCCACTCCCCCGTATACCGCTCTGCGCTGTTCCGCGCGGAGAGGGGGCTCAGTTTCAGGAGAGCCCTGCCTCCGGGGCACCCCAAGCGAGATTGTACTGTAGAATCCGTGCGCCGGGCCGATACAACAATGAGCGAGAGAACAAAATAGAACCCCTCGTTTCCTCATCCAGGCTCGATAAGGCCCGCTCTACGATTGGAAAAGGGATTCATGGCATTTCTTGCCGGGGGGAGAATTCATCATCTCGTCGTTGCTATTATACTGTATCATGGTCGACACCTGTTTCCTGCCGGAGCCTGGTCGAGGGACCCTTATCTCGCCTGCTCCGCCTCTTGGCGGTGCGGCGAAGGCGGGTCAACGTAACATTGGGCATAGTGCACAGGAGGCCCTGCTCCCACAACCAAGCATTAATTACATTCATACCATCTCACTCGAAAAAAAACAAGTGATGGGGTGTGATGCTGGTGGCTTCGGTGGTGAAGTCATTTTTCACTCCAATCCAAATAGGCGTTTAGGATTGTGTCTTCTTGGTATAACGCGATTGGGTGGTGGTAATGTGCGGGATGGCCAGCAGAGTTTGCCTAGTCGCTGTCGTTAGAGCATTTTAAGGACGGGTGTTCACCACTACACAGATACGCTATCGCCGTAGCCAACAATCCGCCCCCGACGGGCCGTGTCCCCTCCCCTTCGCCATCTTTGGGACATCGCGGTGGTGGTCAAGGTGGATCCTAGTCTTCCCCTCTCCATACAAAATACTTTTAGGCTTCCGTGGTACGTCTCCCCAACGGGTTAGCCACCCTCAAGGTGGGGAAATATTGGGAACGCGCTCAAACTATGGAGGAAACGGGATGACTATGGCTTCACTGAGCACTTCCCTTCCATTGACTTTGGGATGTGGGTCGTGGATTGGTTGTGAGATGCTAAAATTGGATTTAGTCTATAGTCTAGAGGCGGGCTTGCTATACTTTTTTGGATAATGATTTCCCGCTCCTGTGTTTTGAAAGGTTCGTGCGGATACGTGTCTTCTGTGTGCCCCGCGAGAGCACGCTAAGCATCCGCCTGTGACTGCCTCTTTGCCCATTCCTTCCTTCCTTTTCTTTCCCTTCCCTCCTCTCCCCTTTCCCCTCCTCTCCCTTTTTCTGTTCCCCTTCAACACCACTCCCTCCCCCAAAATTGCCGTTTCTACCAAATTTTCCTTCCATACGAGGAACGTAGCAGAGTGAGCTTCGAACCCAGTAAAGGTCAGTGTTTGTGTTGAAACTAAATGATACAGGTCCTCTTGATTCTGTCAAAGCTCTCCCACCAGTGCGTGTCATCTCAGGATGCGTCGAGTCAGTGCCTATGCTGTACTGTGCCTAGGCGCCGCCGTTGCTCACATTGGGTCTGCCAACAACCTTCCATCGAGCCCGCGACTCGTGGACACAGATAACCATGCACCCGGGACCGGGCCATATCAATTGACTCCTGTGGTTGTCAGACATGATGAAAATGATGATCCTTTGGTCCCGGAGATTCCCAACGAAGAGTTATATTATGGCAACGACCCATTTTACCTCGACGATTTTGAACCCAGGAATATTGCTGCTCCGGCTCCAGATGACTCGGAAAGCAGCCCCAGCATTGATGGTGGGTTCGGCCTGGCCCCGAAGGCAAGACGCAAAAGGGCCGCACCTAGGGTAGGTGGGATCCCAAAGCCTTCCCTGCCTCCTCCCGCTCCAAATCCTGCCGCGACCGCGACCGATGTGAGCGAAGAGGTGGCCATTAGTGAAATTGGCATTCTGGTCGATGATACCAAAGCCAGTCTTATTCCCAAAATCTGCAGGTCGCGTGAATTCCAGCCAACGATGGAGAACTACTGGGTATCGGGAACCGACACCTTCTTGCGAGATTATTCGAGGGACAATCAGGGCTCCACTAATTATCAGAAAGACGGCCTCTTCAGATCCCTAGCGAAGATGTATCTGGGGGAACATACTAACCTGGAGTGCTCGTTTCGCGGTGGCACTTTCACAGGCAGGAAGTGCAAGATCTCTTGTAGCGATGTTTTGAAATGCGTTAACAATCCTGAATTGGGAAGGAAGGTTTACTTCTCCCTAGCCGCGGCCGTTGGGTTTTCAGAGGTCATGGGGGTCATGCATGTAAGTGAGCTAGATTAGCATGTGACGTTGATACTGATGTAACGCAACAGGACTCTTTCTCTCTTATCCCGGAGAGACTGATCTCCATGATCGGTCTAATGCCCCAGTTAGAATATACTTTCGGAAAATTAGGCGTTCAAGATATGCTTCGCTCGGAGGCACAATTCTTTTTGAAATCTCTCCATCATGCCGTTGTTGGAGCTGCGCCATGGCATACTGTTGAGAAGGTTTCCGAGGGAGCTGATGCTAGTCTGGCCCGGGCAAAGAGTGATTATGACAGCGCCATCCAGGTTTACGGGATGGTCGAGGGCGGGAATGACCCGTACAAATGGGATAAACTCTTCGACCCTCACTATGAAATGAGCATTTCCGACCTTGACCTACCACACTCTGATGCCGCAGGCTACGTTTTGGAGGATTCATCCACATCAGCTGAGGGTTGGCATGGGAAGACCGTCGAGAGAGCGAAGCATGTTTTGCTAGACCTTGTGGCATTCATCCGGTCAATTAATTCAGGAGAGCTCGATATGGCTAGGGAATCGGGGTATTCGGTTCTCGAGAGTCTCTTTGACCGCATTGGGGACTCCATGGGCTCGGGGATGGACTTTCTGTCGGCTGAAGTTCCTCAGCAAGTCGCATCGCGAACCAAAACGGGCATCGCACAGGCTGTCGAAGAAATTCTCCTGGGGAAAAGTATTGACTCTGATGGTAAGGAATTGAACTAGCCTTCTGCTCTTACCCTCTCGCAACAGGCATATTGATTCTGACGCACAAGTGATTTAGGATCTACAAATCTTTCAAAACTCTTGTCCTACGGAAACTACCTCCCCTTGGGCTACAAACCAAATGTCTCTAAGCTCAAAAACGCAAATCCAGCAGAGTAAGTCTTCCACGGTCAATTTTGGCCCCTCTGCAATGCTAAAAACATCGCCCTGTAGGAAACTCTCCAAAAACATCTTTATGAGATTATTCAACCTGAGCTTCGAAGGAAAAAAACACTATATCTCCTGTACCAAGGATACCCAGAGGCGCAGCACCCCTAAGAAGGACACTCCCGGGCCGAGGAGCGCATGCGAGAGGGATAACTCCGGGCCTCAGAATCTCAAGGCATGCGTTGAGGGTTATGCTTGCTATATGTATAGATGGAGCGAGCGCGATCTTAGCTACCTATCCCACAACAAGAGTCCCAAGGGTATGGAAAAATGGGACGAGCCTCCTTTCAACATTTCCGCTGAAGTAAGTTCTGCCACGTTCCTCTCGCTTGTCCATCTGTTAACAGGAAACTATCACCCACAGAATATAATTACCTCTTCCGTCCAATCCCTGCTTCAAGAACTTGGGCGTGGAGAAGGTAGAGGCTCACTGGATGAAATCCTCAAAGCCACAGAAGGTGGTCTCATCTCACTTGGTGACCCCTCCATTCCCGGCCTCTTCCGTCTCCCAGTCTGCTTCTCCCGCTATAATTGGAACGCCCAAGTCACGGGTTGGGGCATCCTCAGCGATACCGATCCCAACTGCCCGGCAAAGAACTTCCCATGTCACTGCGGCCCCTGGGGGCTGGAGACCGAGTCTGTTTGGCGTGAAATGGGCGTAGGCCAGGGCAAGAAGCGAGGCAATTATGCTCAGAACTTGTGCCCACGTCAAATATCTCGTAAAGTCGAGGATCCGGTGGAGAGGTACATGGCTTACTGCGCTCTTGACATTCGCCGTAATACCTTCACTACTAGAGTCAATGGTCCCTTCAAATACTCTGGGAAGGATAAGTATTGTGTCGTTTTCCAGGGCATCATTGAGCTCAAGGGATACGAGTCTATTGAGGATATGGACCCCGAGGTTAAGTTTGCCTTCGCTTGCAAGATTAAGAAGGGTGGGAAGGGCTGCTCAATGTACGGCAGGATGTTTGATGGCCTGTGGGAGGAGGCCCTTGATGCCGGGTATTTGAGCCCTAAGAATGGGCCAAAGAAACCCTCGTAGTTTAAAAAGGATTGAAGAACCCCGTTTCGGGTTGGCCACCACACAGTTTGGGGTACCGTGGGGGGTGAAAATGTGATTTTTTTTTCTTTTGTATAAACCCGGGCTGTGTTCTGTAAGGCTAGCTAGGTTTTGTCTCTTGATAGTGTTTGGTTGTGACTGGCCACAGTGATGCACTGTGGACTACTCGAGTACGTAGGGTGTGATAAAAGGGATGTTTTCTCCCTTCCCTTTTCCATAACTGGCGAACGAGACAAATTCAAGGAACACGAGGGGAGCAGCGAGCAAGCAACGACAAACACGGGACCTTGTATCTGCGTTTGGGAATTCTACTCTGTTTGTTCTTTCTGTTCTTGGCATCGGATTTGATTTGTATGGACCTATTCTGGGATACTCTTGCGTGCGTGAAGGCGCCAATTGCCTGTGTGATTTGAAAGTGAGTGAAGCTTACCCGTTTTGTGTGTTTGGTTTTTCGACCCCGATGCGTCCTTTTTAGTACTAGTGGTTTAGGTCATCTAAAAAAAAAAAAAAAAAAGGAGAACTGTACGTATTAGAATAGGAGAGGTTGGCGGGTGAGGAAAGAGGGAAAAATAATAATCTCATTTTTACCGCCGTTTTACCTGGAACAGAGAGCTCAGGATGTGTCTGGTTGGCACTGGGACACTACGGGGGTATGGTCAAGTCGTTGCAATGAGCCCAAAACAAGGTTTCCAAAAAGTATAAAAATCCTATTTTTTACAAGGTCACATAATAAAAAACCGCTCAAGTGGTAGATTTAAGTTAGCGCGACGTTGCATCAACAACGCCACTGCTACCTTTTTATATGTGTGCTATTGTGGTAGGTTGCTTTCTGGGGTTTTTTTCCATGTTGTTTCTGCCCATGGTGGTTGCGTAATGATGGCTCGCTGCTCGGGAGCCGTCGCTTTTGGTGTGTTTCGGCCCCCGGCCCGTTACTAGACGACCTCTACCCGTATTGGGGGTAGACTAACTTGAGACTTGATTGCCTATTTGAATCCTCCCCTCCAGCCTACCGTGGCTCGAACCTCTATCCCTAGATCCCAAAAGTCAGAAAGTCTCACCCTCTCTGCGATTCTGCCGCACGGCAGTGAGGCATACTCGAGTACAGGCAGTTGCCACTTGCCGGGTGCGGGAATGCCTGGGAACGCAGGGTCCCGTGGACGGGCGGACAAACAGGTTCAAACTTCGGCACGGTGCCGAACCGATGTGCTTCTGTCCTATGGTCGGTTTACATTTCCCGGGTTTTCACCTAGGGGGCACGGTACGATGTTATAAGGGCCGTCCTCCTCTGGCACAAGCACTGCAGGAGCACCTTGGGCGAGATGGGGTTTTTTTTCTCCTAACCGTACACTATATACAATGGGCTTCTCTTATTGAATTATTACAGCACATTTGCAAAACCCGCCCTCCGCACAGACATTCAGATCATCTCTGGCTTCTATTCTGGCACCTCCCCTAACCCTATTGCGCAATGCCACTAAAGTCGCGTCATTCCGTGTTACACACATTAAAGTCGCGTCTCCCCAACAAGCCTCCGCCCACCACGCATATCACCTCCTCACTTTCTCTAACCGCTATCACTCTTCAACCTCGACTCGATAGCTCTACTTTTGTTTTCTCGGCTTTGATGGGGGTGTTCATCACGTTGTATGTGTTCTGAGTAAATGATGCTTCGCTCCGATGAGAAGGCTAGGCGGCTTGCCAAGGAGCTGGGATCTCGTGAGTTTTTTTCTTTGTTCATGGAAGAATGTGGTCACTGATCTGTCTAGACGGTTTCGAAGAAAATGGTGACGAATATGAGGCTTCGAAATTTGGGGATTATCGAGGGTATTTATATATTTATATATTTATTTATTTTTCTCTTTCTCGTCTGCATTTTTTTATGTATTTTGCTTTATAACGATAGTTTTTTTTTCTTTTTCACAGATACTCTAAGAATAAACGAACGAAGCTTCAGAATTCAGATGCGCATCTTCGCTCGATAGTTGAGGACGCTCCGCCGATCTTCCAGGGCCTTGTCATGTCGGTCAACGGATATACGAACCCGTCCTTGATAGACCTTCACCGGATGATTGTCCAGCACGGCGGCATGTTTCTGCAGTACATGGATAAGAAGAGCAACATCACGCACATGATTGCGTCGAACCTTACCCTGAAGAAGAAGGTGGAGTTCTCGCGATATAGGGTTGTTCGACCGGAGTGGATTGTGGATAGTATCGCTGCTGGGGTGCTATTGCCTTGGGGAGATTACCGGCTGTTGGATGATGTCAAGAATCAGACAAAATTGGGATATCAGAGTCCTGGAAGTCCGGCAATTACGAGAAGGAATAGTTTAACGGAGCCTCGTTCTTACAAGCAGAGCTCGATGCCGTCGTCCGAAAAACCAAAATCCAGATTCGAGAGAGATGTCGTTATTCCTCCGTCCGACGAGCAAGAGTGGGAGGATGATCTTTTCCCGTCATACCAGCGCCCGCCCTCAAGTGGAAAGGAGGTATCTGATGCAAAAACTAAGCGCAGGATGTATGACTATGGGATAGATTCACCGCCTTCGCATCAACCTAGCCCACCTGAAGAGGATGAAGAGGAATATTCGGTGTCTCCTGTGGGATTGGTTAATGTTCCTTCTGTTCCTTCTTCGGGTCTTAAAAGCTTTGTTGGTGCACCCGATGACCACAAATCTCCTAAATCAAAGCCAAACCCACCACCCGCACCTGCTGTAATTGTTAAGGGCAAACTGGCATATGAGCCTGAGGGCATCATTGGTAGGAAGCGGCATCACAAGGGTGCCAAGCCTAAGAACCGGCGTGGGCAGATAAAATATCTGATAAAATGGCGGGGATACTCAAATGAAGAGTCCACCTGGGAATTTGAAAAGGACTTGGAAGAAGATTTGGGGAAGAAGGAATTGGATGAAATGGTGAACGACTTCAGGGTTCTGGGGGCAAAGAAAATACCGGAACTTTTGAAGCCAGAGTCTGTAAGTTTCACCTCTAACTCTACGGATAATTCGGTTTCGTCTCAAAAGGGGGACTCCGAAAGCCAGCATCCTCGCCTTCGTCCCCAGGTCGGGGTTAGCGTTGAGATACCGGAACAATTTCACTCAACACTAAAGTCGCCAAGAGGAAGCTCGAAGCTGGATCACGGTGGCGGCGGTGATGATGATGGCACGCAAAAGGATCCGTCTTTCATCAAGGAAACATTTATAGCACCTCTCTCACAGGCCAGCTCTCTGCCAATACAAAGCTCGCCGCCTCTGGGTGGGCAGCAAATGATCGAAGCAGACGTGTCTAGTTTTGAAGATAATGATATCCCAATTGAACAGGATCTCACCCTGGACCCTCTAGAAGAAGGCAGTCTGCGAGAATTAGACATTGTTGAGGACAGGTTACCCTCGCCGCTCGTGAAGAAAGAAGAACCATCCCCAATCGTGAGGCCGTCAAAGCGACAGCTAGGCCGTGAGGAGGGCGAATCACCACTTCGGGGGAAAATGCCCAACGGGAAAGATATGTCAGCTGAGGAATTCAATGCTGCACTACTAGCTGATCCAAGTGTTAGAGCGTCATCTGTCCTTGGCCCCGGTTTTCTGGAAAAGTATTTTGACACCAGCCGGCTTCACCACCTCAGTACCTGTAAGCGCTTGTTCCCCGCTTGTTGTCAGAAAGTGTTGTTTATAGAATTGTAGGGAAAACGGAGCTCAAGGCGGAGATGCAAGCCTTCGCCACCGCTAAATCTTTGCAGCATAAGTCGGTGGTTAAGGCTCGGCAATGGCGGTATGTTCTGCACGTCGACTTTGACTGTTTCTTCGCCGCTGTGTCCACGCGTGATCGCCCCGACCTTAAAGACATGCCTGTCGCTATCACCCATGCAAGTTCCGTGAATAGTGCTAGCTCTGATATTGCAAGTTGTAACTACGCTGCTCGCGCTTTCGGACTAAAGAATGGAATGTGGATGAAACAGGCGAAAGAGCTATGCCCAAAACTGGTCTGTCTAAGCTACGATTTTGAAAAGTACGAGGAGGCGAGCAAGGCCTTCTACGAAGTCATCCTATCGATGAACGGAGAACGTGTTCAAGCTGTCAGTGTTGACGAGGTTCTACTCGATGCTAGTAATCTTGTCTGCGACATTGGCCTACAAGGGACAAAAGAGGAGGAGACTAAAGCGCTTGAGATTGCGCAAACAATCCGGAACAGATGCCGGGAAGAAACAGGCGGGTGCGAAGTATCCGTTGGAATAGGTAGAAACATGCTCCTGGCGAAGCTGGCAATGCGCAAAGCGAAGCCCGCGGGGATGTATATTGTCAGGGAGGAGGAGATCGATCAGTTTCTGGACGATATACGGGTTCGGGATTTACCCGGTTTTGGTCACAACATTACCAAGAAGGTCGAGGAGCACTTCAGGGCTGATACCGTCCGTATGGTCAAGGGGATTAGCAGGGAGAGGCTGAAAGCGGAGCTAGGTGAGAAGACGGGGGAGAAGCTGTGGAGGTATTGCCGCGGGATTGATGATACTCTTGTTGGCCAAGACGCCTCTGAGAGGAAAACTATCTCTGTCGATGTCAACTATGGCATTCGATTTATCACCCAGGAGCAGGCAGATAAGTTCATATTGGACGTTGCGGGATTGCTTCAGCGCAGGATGGAGAAGGAAGGGGTGAAGGCGAAGAAGCTATATCTGCAGGTCAAGAAGCGGGCCGCTGGCGCACCAATGATGACTTCGAAGCACCTTGGACATGGACATTGCGATACAGTCAACAAGAGTGTTTCTCTCGGAACTGCTACGTCGGAAAAGGAAATCATGGGGAAGGAAACGATCACAATGTTGAGATCTTTTCGAATATCACCCGGGGAGCTTAGAGGCATCGGACTCAGTGCGGCAAATCTCGAAACAGCCAAGGCCCACAGCAGTCAAACAAAGCTTGATTTCTCGAAAAGAGCTATTGAGGAGCGGGATGACAATCATGTTTTCCTACCTCCACCCCTTCCCTCTCCATTGCCTCCTCCGGTGCAGAAACCCCGACTTGTGCCCTACGTCAAGCCCCGGCCCACCACCCTTCTTGACTCATTTGCGAGGATGGGCGCAAGAAAGGAGCAACCGCAGAAGCCGAGACCGCCACCACCAGCAGCAGCAGCACAAAGACCTCAACCATCGCCTCCTCGCAGCCCGCCAATGTCACAATTTCTTATACCGTCCCAAGTAGACCCCGAGGTGTTAGAAGAAATAAGGCAGAGCATGCGGGAGGAAGCTGCGCGCCAAAAGCGGGCCCAGGAGGAGGAGGCGGAGGCGCAATTGCTTCGTCAGCGCGAAGGGCTAGAGGAAACAGATAAGGGGGTGGAAGACCTAGAACTAGACCGTCTCCCAAACTCCCAAGTCGACGCCGATGTATGGAAGGAAATGTCGAAGGAGGATAAAGCCCTTTATCTCGCCATGCAAGAGGAAGACCGCCAACAGCAGCAGCAGCAGCAGCAGCAGCCACGGCAACCTCCTCCTCCTCCCCCTCCTCCAGTGCCAGCACAACTCCTCCGTTCTGCTCCCCCCCAAAGCCCGCGCAAAAATCGGTACCTCCCCTGGTCCAAAAAAGGCCCGCCAACACCAACCAAACGCCGAAAAACAATGTCCGCGCAGCAGCAAAGGAGCCTCTTCCCCGCCGCCAACCCACCTTCTGGCGCCACCGCCCCTGTGCCCGCCGCCGAGAAAATCCTCGACGCAAACGGCATCGATGTCTCCGGCTGGCTCTTCACAACCGGTCAGGTCGACAGACCCCTCTTCGAAACACTCGACGCGGAAACTCAGCAAGATGTGATCTCCGAAGCCCGAAAGCACCATACTGCGCACTTAGCCCTGCAAGAGAAGGCCATGCGCGAAGCTGCCGCGCTACAGCAACGCCTCGCGAACGCGATCATTCTCACCCCGCTGGATCGCCAGCGCTACCTTGGCCCCGAGCGCATTCCCGTGGGGAACATCGCTGAGATCAGGAGCATGATGGAGGGGTGGTTCGCAGCTTCAAAAGGTGGACCGCCGAACAGGAGGGATGTGGACCTCATTAAGGGTTTCTTGAAAAGGCTCGTTGTCGTCGAGCTGAATATGGATAAGGCTGGCACTGCTTGCAGGATTTTCAGGAGAATTGTTGAGGAGGGATTCCAAAAGGGGGAGGAAGTGGGGGACGAGGAGAGAGAAGAGGAAGTGGATGAAGGATGGGGGGGCGTAGTCGCAGAGTTGATCGAGGCCGTGCAGGAGGGAGTGAGTGAGAGGGGTTACGGGCCGTTGGTCATTTAATTTTCTTCTTCTTCTCTATCTCTCTCTTATATACCATCTTTCGTTAAATGCCATCATTTACCTCCCAACCAGACGTCCGGAAATCAGGCCCAAGTTGTACACTGAGTAAAAAGTCACCCACCCATCATTCCTACCCACCTCCCTCCCCCCCAACCTCATCAACATGCAATAATCGTACAATACCAACCAAGAACAAAACCCACCAATCAAAAAACAGTGATTTCAAAAGGTAATTCTGAACGGACAAACAGACAATCAGACAAACGCTGCATCGTTAAAAGTAGCCGGATATAATCCCACTGGGGATCCCCCAAAAGCACTGACGGACGGACGGGAACGAAAGAATCGTTTACGGTACCGTGCAAATTTCTATGACTTGGAGTTTGTGTGTGTGGGGGGGGGGAGGGGTGCACCTCGCTTGATCTATTTTCTCCGAGGATGTGATTTTCCTACTTTTAAGTGGTTTGTGTGAGGTCTCGTGTCAAGTTGTCTATTGTCTGCGGGTTTGGTCATGCGTTGCTGAATTTTGGTAGATTCTTGTGGGCATTGGGGTTCTCTGGGTGGGGGAGTGGGAATTGGGTGCTCTTGGTGTAAAAAAGGCCCTCGGACAAAACATTTTCATCCATCGTAGTTTACTTTTCCCATTGCTTGATACGTCCTATCAGATACTCGAGTGATAATCTATGATATCTTTCCAACGGCTACCCGACCTGCACCTCAGCCATTTTCCCAGAAAGGCACTTCAACAGCAACCCCTCCACCCTCTCGTTCCCCGAAATGACGCTCGTGCCCTCCCCATTCCTAAAATTCACAATCATCACCCCAACGTTTTCCAAGTCCCTCCCGTCAAGTTTATCCACAACCTCCCACTCCTTGTTCCCCCACTCCTTCCAAAGCTCCCTCGCTCCAGGGCCCTTCGCTAACAATGCTAGCCCTAGAAGCCCCTCGCTGCGGACAACGGCCCACTTGTCCTGCAGGACCATGTCCCACAGTGGACGTGCCAAGCCCGGATGGTGGGTGGTAGAGATATCCTGTGGCGAGGAGGAGAGGCAGCGGAGGATGCTGACGACCATGCGGGCGATTTCAGTTTTTGTGGGGAGTTCTTCTGCTTGAGTGTATGTTTGTAGTAATTTCTCCAGATAAGTAGCTTCGCCGGTCTCGCGCGGGGAAATAACTTTCTTGCAATTCTCTACACAGTCAACACACAATAGTCGTGCGAGTCCGGCAGCGGAATACCAGACTTGGCCGACGCCTACGCCTTCCATTCCCACTACTGCCAGGATAGCATTGAGGGCGCCGGCGTCCACGAGAATGGTTTTCTCGCTCTTTGGCACAGAAAAGTTCCTGAGAACGCCTACTGCACTGTGCAGGAGGGATAGATATATTCCACCCTTCCCAGCGCCGGCGCCGTCTAGTTTCACTTCTGTCGGGAGGGGCTCGAGTTCTTTCTTGCTCTGCTCGTACCCCTCCACCGCACGGTGAATCACCGAAAACAGCGTCTTGTGGAGCGCGTGTGTGTGTATTAGCTCCCGACATACTTCTGCTGACTGCGTTACGTTTCCGAAGACCAAGCATGCAGCAATCACCTTATCGTAGCGGTGGAGCTCGTTGCTCGCGGACAGCCAGGTGAGGATTTTGGCAATGGGTGCGGATGAGAGTGGGTACGTGGTTAGGAACGTGGCCTTCCAGGAAATGTCGGCTATGCTGTCCATCAGTGGGGATTTGGCAGAGAAGAGGCGCTTACGGTTGGTTATGTCGAGGGTTGGGTCGAAGAGGAGGGAGTGGGTCATTTCGAAGACCTCGAGGAAGAGGGGGAACTGGTTTTGTTCTAAGATGGCGAGTTGTAGGGGTGGATGGGTGAGTAGAGTTGTTAGGATTGTGAGGAGGAGAATGCGGTCATCTATAGAAGTGATTTCGGTGGAAAGTTTCGAGAGGAGGGGTCCGAGGGAGGCTGGAGGGGTAGTTTGTTTGGCAGTATCTACCGATGGTGTCAGTAACTAAGAAGGAGCGAGCTGGATGGAGAGAGGGACCATGCGTTACTAAGAGCTCTAGAACTCGAAGGGGAACCTGATTATTTGCCGGAGCACCGCCCTGGGCGGCAGCCTCCTCCATGAGTATCTCTACGCCGCCCTCTTCAATAACCTTCAATTGTGCGGCCTCTCTTCAAGAGTTAGTGCCTGTCTCGTCTCCGTCCCCATCAGTCAAGAAGGTGGGCTACCATTATCAAGCGTAAGATTTTGTAATGTCGCTACGGCAAACACGGACAAGTCCTCACTGCTAACAAGAGAAAGGACCGTCTTGAGAGCAGTCGGATGGTCTATCAGCCTCTGCCGATTCTCATCTATTCACCGCCGTCGTTCTCTCAGCATCCTCACACACAAACCGTAGCACTAGGAGCGCCCAAGTCCGTACCATTATCAGCAATCGAATTTGCAATAACCCGGAATATCTGCCGGCCGAGCAGAAGATCAACGCCTTGGTCTAGCTGATCCAAAAAGAAACCCAAAACCCCGCTGTCGCCCAATATCTGCCTCCATTCGACTACCCATCATCGTCATCATCATCACTATCGTTAATTCACCTTATCCATCCATGCAAACCATCTTCTCGGTAAATGTTGGGAGGGCCGGTAGGGTGAGCTTACCTTGCCGACAAGCATCACCACACTTCTCAGCACCCTTCACAAACTCGTTCCCCTCTTCAGCTTTCAACCTCTCCAATAGCGAGACGATGACGGCAACATCGTTTCCCGTATCCTCCAACAAGTCGTTTATCGTATCGACCGTGCTCATCTTGCCGGATTCCACTTTGTGGATCATAGACCGCTTATTCCGATCTGAGGTTGAAGTTTTGTTGGATTGCCGTATCACTAGTTTGTGCATGGGTCTTATCTTGGCTGGAATTTAGCGGGGAACCGTGATCTGGATTTGTGCGCACGGGCCCCCCGAGGGTTGTGAGGCTCGGCGGGAATGCCGGGACTTGCCGATGCCCCACATTCTGGCTATGCGGGGAGGTGATATGATACCTTGGTTCGTATCAGCTGGGCGTGATGGGTTCGATGGGTGTTAAGCCTTCACCGCTGGGCTGGAATGTCTATGGCACGCGCTCAACCCCCCCAGTGTCGCTGCGAGTATGATACAGCACCAGTTCGACTCGAGAATAATAATCAGCCAGGGCCCACTGGCCCGGATCTGAGCCCGGCAGGGAGAAACCTAATAATATAGTAGTGTGGGATGTAAGCTGCACAGGAAAGGAGGGGGGCGTTTGTTTGCCCACTCGGTTACTCCGTGATGGGGTCTTTAATCATGTTGGACGATCCCACGCAAATCATGTACAGTACATCTCGCAGCGCTGCCATTCTACTTGCATTCCACCAATTGTCAAGCAATTCAATAGACACTTATCGGTATTATGTGCAGTCAATTGAGTAAACCTTACATGGCTGGAGCCATATTTATCCCGATAGTTTGAAACTTTAGAAGGCTCCTTCTAGGCGCTCAGAATGTACGGTTCTTAGTTCAAGCTTTTAAAAGACCGCCAATTTCGACAGTCTACCCTGATATTTCCGATCTGAGAAACAGGAGCGAAGGCTACCGGTACAGTACTCGAGCGTACCACTAGGAGCCCATCATTCCTTCGTAGTGACCTTATCCCGAACCACTCTTTCTATCATACCTCCTGCTCAACCTTCTTATCTCCGCCGATCATATCAATCCACAATCCCCCAACGACATCACTCTCTAAGAGTCTGACAGCTACGTCGGCCACATCCTCCCTTGTAACCTCTCCAGCAGTTTTACACTTCCCTAGACATACCAACCCAGTCGCCGAGTTATCACTCAACCTCCCAGGCCTGAGACAAATATCTCTAATCACCAGATTCCTTCCAACCTCGTACAAATGCTCATCGGCGACGGTCTTAGCCTCACAATACTCCCCAATAGTAGCCAAGATATCCTTGTAAGTTTCGACATCCCTCTCACCCCACCAACTTGCTGGCGCCCGTCTTGCGACCGAGGCCGACACCATTAAAAATGTATCGACGGACGGAGCCTCCGCCGCTGCGTCGATGTACTTCTTCGCAGCAATCTCGTCAACGGCTTTGGTCCTTTGGGGGCCGCCCTTACCTCCGGCACCGGCGGACCAGACGACCCAATTAATATTCTCCATTTCTTTTTGAATGCTGGATGGGGTGGATTCTTCTAGGGAGGAGACGAGCGGGGTAACGTTTTTGTGGAGAGATCCAACCACGGCTGACTGGGATGGGTCGCGGATGACGGAGGTGACTTGGTGCCCTTTCTGTCCTAAGATTCTGGAGATTACTTGGGCAATTTTACCGTGGCCTAGGAGTGAAATAAGTTAGTCGGTGAGAAGACATCGGGAAGATGCAGATTACCCCCCAGAACTAAGACGTTGACCATAATTAATGGCGACGAACCAACGGATCCTCTGCCCAATTTAGGGATTGGTCTCTGAGTACTGTACAAGACACTTTTGGGGATTGTGGGGGCTGGTGGAGGTTTTGTCTGAATGTGTGAGGAGGCGTTGGATACCAGTGTTGGTGATTTAAATTTCTGAAAGGCCGCTGACGCGATAACAGCCCCAACTTTAGATCATGGGATGTCGGGGAAAACACTTCGCCACCCGCGGAACTGGCGATAGGCTGCGGTGGCGAGTGACACTCGATGACTACGAGCATTGTCCTCGGTCGGCTAACTCCCAAAATCCTTTCTGCCGAATCAAAACGAATAATAACGGGCTTCTCTGAACTTTCTCCAGTGGTGTGGCGTAGGAAGCTTGGGCCTTGACAATTGGAGGGCCTGTCCGGCAGGGGGTTTCTCATCCCCCGGGGCGATGGCAGACAGCTCAAGCGATAGACGGTGCAAACCCGATTTCCAGAGGGCATAATATGGCCCTCCCCTCGGTGCCTTAGTTGAGGTATGATATGATAATAATATTATGATAGATATACTTCTGATGTACGAATGCGTAACTGCTTTCATGAAGTTTCCCCTAACCCATTATAAAGCCTACTGGTATAGAACATCTTCACATATCCGTTTCTTTCTGGGTGGCCGCTGTGATCGAGCTTGTTGGAAAACTCCTGGCGTTGAGCGATTCCCGCCCCGCTACCTATTAGGCCGCGTCTTTATCCAACATACTCCTATCATACAGTTTAAGGCATACAATGCACTCTTTTTGCGCATATATATCGGTACCCTCCCATCTTTAACTCACGGTCTTCATTGATCATCCCAATACTTCGCTCTTATAACTATCTCCCGCCCCTATCTTTTAAAGGAACATTCAACTCCCATCCAGGCCCTTTCATTGAAGGTCAATTCCGCCATGTCAAAGAATCCCGCAACTATACTCTCGTCGAAGTACAAAATGTTAGACAAATGCTCCCTGTTTTCGAAATTGTCGCTCCTGGATCCCATGGTTAACCTTTGTCTACCAGATTTATGTTTGACGGAATAGTCACTTTGTATCTCGGGCCGGATCGCAAAAAAATGGAGATACATAAAAAACTCCTCGCGAGCGTGTCCCTGGAACTCGACAAACACGTCAACAACTGCATGAAAGAGGGCATCGAAGGCATAATATACTTTCCGGACGAGGGGGAATTTGCTCTCTCGCTTTTTGCAGAATGGGCATACACTGGAGAATACACCATTATGGACAATACACCACTTGTCAGAATCCCAGATCAATACGGCAACTACTCGGAAGTGAAGGCAGATCCATGGCCTAGCCTTCGCACGCACCTTGAGCTCTACACTTTCTCGGACAAATTTAACATACCCACATTAAAGCTGCTCGCAAAGTCGAAATTCTCTACGGAGATCAGCCCCGTCGATCTGAAGGGCAAGGCTGATGCGGACGGCCTAACTTCGCTAGTAGAGTACGCGTACAACAACCTCCCGGACTCCGACCCGATCCAGAAATTCCTAGCGCAATTTGCTGCTTGGAAATTGGAGTTGCTTCAGGAGAGGGATGAATTTGTTCAATTCATCTCTACTCAGCCGGAGTTTATGAAGGAATTGCTTGTGAATTTGAAAGGTCTAGCGAATAGGCCAGCCCTTGCTTGATGGCAAGGGTCTGAAAATTGTGGCTACGAGTTCTTGATCTTCATTTTTTTACAGTAATAAGACACCTTGTACTCTTGCAGCGGGTCGGACACATCTCTTTTATAATTCACACAATCGCAAGAATTGGCCTCATCTCCACAGCGCGCACACCTCCGGCCTGCCATTCAGCAGGGACTTTTCCCGTCCCATCTTTTCCCTTCACACATCCTCACCCGCTACCTCAACCTAGAACCCCAACAATCAAAATCGACAAGCTATGCTGTAATCTGCGATCCCCCCCAAAACAGCATTTCCCAACCCAAAGCTTCGCACCACAAGACCCTCTCTTAGGAACAGTAAATTCTATTCCTATTCTATTCCTATGATTCCCTCGTGGAAAAAGAACCAATTTTTCGGGTTCGTAATACGCCATATGGCTTGCTCCTTAACCCTAACCTTAGGCAAAGCACACCATCTGTACCTAGAGCGCAGCTTGTCCGAGCCTCGCTTGATATCAGATCCTGATCCCAACGAACGGTGACCCCAGGCTACACCTTTGCTCTGGCTCATGGCATAGACGGAAAGACACTAATCGATCATGCACCTGTAAACTATACGATATCGTCTGCAGGGGGATTGGAGAAAAGTCCTAGGGCCTGTCCCACCGTTGGGTTGGATTCATGGTGTTCCGCTCGTGCTGAGATAGATGGATAAATCCAATGATGTCTCAAAATCGTGGAATTCCCTCCCCTGAGTTATGCACTGTAGGGTTACCGCTGCAGTCAGAAAGTCACCCTATAAACCATGAATACCTAAGACTAGCTATATGTAAATGCAACGAGTATTATCCATCGCAATATCCCGACTTTGGCGGATCAAGGGTCGTCACGCTATTGCCCAAGTCGCATGGGTGCGATCGTGGAAACGTACCGGTAATCCGTCAACACCTTAATATCTATGACTAGATTCACAAGACAAGTGAATAAACGGGTGAATAAAGTGTTTTTTTTTCTTTTTCTTCCATGGAATGGCCACGCGGCCGGCGCCGGCTAAGTCCATTGTCCCCTGGAATTGCCGCCTAGACGGGCCGTAAAATCATTTCCCTCCCTTTCCACCAATCATCTACCCAGGAAACTCCCGAGAAACTTGGGTTTAGGCGATCGCTGCTGACCCCACATGATTTTGAGGGGCAGGACAAGGTTGAAAAAAAAAACTCCCGTCCCCCTTGTCTTGGGCACGTCTCAGGCTATTATGATGGCATTATGTCCACTTATACAAGAAGATTAGCAGCCATCACAAGAATTACTACCGGTATTGGTTTTCAGGGTTAGCTGTTATATCTTAAATGCTAGGATACCCTTGCGGACAAATCGTTCCTCTGAGTGGTATGATGGATGCTCTCTTTTTAGGACGTCATGACGCTCCCTCGATCACCCCGTCGATAGTACGGTACCGGTACAGTACAGCATAGCGCGGGGCTCTTCGCCCTTCTTGTCAACCTTCTCGGCTTTTCTCGATCCTCCTATCCTTCTTACCAGCGCTATCAGTGGGAACGATAATCTGAAGGCTCTTTGGCCTCCCCTTCATCAATGTCAGCCTCTTGGGTGTGGGGAAGGTGTTCAAGATCATCACGCTCATCGGAGTTGGTTCCCTCACCAGAATAAGGCTCACCCTCATCGGGGGAAAGAGGTCGTAACATACAGCAAAGTACTCACCACCATCGTCAGCCCATTTTAGGCCTTCCTTGCTACAAAAAATTTCCGCTGATGATATCTTCTATTTTGAACTACTAGGGAAAATCGAAAGAAAAATATGAAAAATAAATTTAAAAAAAATAGCACCTTTCGTTTGCTGTTCGGCAATTCATGGATTACCGAACTCACAAAAATCAATCTCTGTGCCAGTGCATTCAAGAGGGCCCTAAAAATAAAAAAAAAGATAGTGCCAACATCAGTCTTATGGTGGCATTCCTGAAGCCGTGGTGACCCGCCTTCTTACTCCACATGATAGAGGAGGCCCCTCTAAGCAGCGGGTTTCTAGGTCCACAAACAGAACTACTATTACCTTTCTCGCGCAGGTTTCGTGGTTTCACCAATGTTGGAAGCCTCGAGCTTGTATCCCTCCATTCTTGCTCCCTTGTCTGCAGCTCGCAGCCCAGTGCCGTTGTGACCACATAATCTCTCCATAAATTAAGGCATACAATACCCAGTACGCACCCTCCCGCCCATATAAATTGAGATCCAACCTCACTGCCAACCAGCATCCCCCTTCGCTAGCACTCATATTGCACCCTCGCCTCTATAACCCCCCCACTGGTTCTCAACGAGCATTCGACTACCATCCAAATATTTTATACCTATGTACACTTCTAGTAGCATGTCTGGTAGCCCCACAGCTGGACACTACCCAAATTACAAAGAGTTAGGCCTGCTTCCTAGAATTGCGCGTATTGGGCCTCATGATTAACCTCCGCTCACTAGCTTCCTGTTTGACGGAACCGTCACATTGCGCGTCGGACCTCATCGCAGAAGCATGGAGATGCATAAAAAACTCCTTGCGAGCATATCCCCCGAGCTCGACAAGCACGTCTACAACGACATGAGAGAAGGGGCCGAGGGAATGATATATTTTCCGGACGAGGAGGTAGTTGCGCTTTCGCTTTTCATCGAATGGGCATACACAGGAGAATACGACCACGATGAGTACGTGCCACTTTCCAGCACGGGAGATTGCACAGAACAGAGGCGAGATCCATGGGCGAGCCTTCACAAACACCTTCAGCTCTGCGTATTCTCAGATAAATTCAACATACCCACCTTAAGGAAGCTCGCAGAATCGGAATTCTACGCCAGTATCAACCCTATCGTTCCTGAGAGCAAGGAAGATGGCGCTGGCCTTGTTATGGCGATAGATTATGCATACGGTAATCTCCTCGACACAGATCCGATTGTGGGGTTTCTGGCGCAATATGCTTCTTGGAAGTTGGAGCTGCTACGGGAGACAGACGGTTTTGAGAAACTGATTTTGGCTCGGCCAGAGTTTCTGAAGAAATTCCTTGGGGCCTTGAGAGGGTTAGACAATAAGCCTATAGTTGGGGGACTTCCACCGCATTGGGGTACCGGTGTTGAGTGTATTAGTACTAGTGGGGTGCATTATGCGCGAAGGGTGGGCGGCAAGAAGAAGAGGGGGGCCCGGCCGCCGCGATCTTGCAATGACGCCCCGCCGGTGGGCTCTCCTATTCCACTTGCGCGCGAGGAAATTCCGCTCTGTGAGACGAGAGTCCTCCCGTGATGGCAAGCGCCTGAATTGTTCCAAGGAGGCCTCATTATTCATCTCTTTGATGCAACAATATATTTGATTCCTTCTTTTCGTGTCCTTCTATAGAGCTTAAGCCACAGTACTTGCACCGTACCGTAGTTTACATCTTTGTTGCCGCGCTAGCCCTTCGCCTACTGTATACTTCGCACAAGTGCAAGTATTGTCTGGTCTCTCCCAAGTGTACGGTACTACTCGTAGTACATCTCCAGCCAGCCATATGCTAGAAAATCAACCCATCTGACATACCTTGTCTCCACATATCCTCGCCCCGAAACGAAAATTGATAATCTATGCAGCACAGTGCTTCCGGAGGCTATACTCCGCAACTTACAGTTTTGCACCACCTCCAACGTTCTCATAAGAGAGCGGTGAAGCGTATTTCTCTGCCCCCACTTGAAAAAAAAACCCCAACTTCGGCTTCCTATCATGCTTTAGAGCGCCGCCTGAAATCGCGTTCGGGACCTTAGACCGGTATGCACTAAACCGGGAAAGGGCTAATGTAATGATCCAGTGTTCCCGATCGGATCTCTCCCTTCCCTCCCTGTCCCCCACCCGCCATCTGCAAAACACCTCCGGGAAGCTGAACGGAATTGGAGAGAACATGAAATATAATAGAAGAGAAGATGGCAAAAGCACAACAAACAGGTCAGGCTACTGACGCTGGAAATCAACCCCCAATGCCGGTTGGCTAATCAAAAAGTGCCCGAATGAAAGAAGGCTTGCCACAGGCAACCACTCAAATTTCGTGTGAACCCCTTCCGCGAATTGACTCGCACTCTGGTTATCTGTTATATCCTGTTGGGTTGAGCACTCAGGAATGCTGCCGCTGGAGTAGGAATGCCGGTTTATATATGGGGACGTCTTGTATGGGAGGGTATGGTAAGCAGATGCAACATAGAAAAATGGCTAGATATGCGAATACGAGTGGTATTTTACCAAGAGTACCAAAAAGCGGCGCCTTGGATGCCTCTTTGGTTTTTTTTTTGGATCCCTTTTTTCGATTTCTTTTAGCAATTGCCGCCTTCTCCGGTTTCAATTTCTTTTTTTGTTAACTCTGTGGTGTGATTTTAGGTATGGTAGTACTTAGTCCTAGGGTGTGGTACCATGGATTCATGATCTCCCCTTGTACACGATCAGGGCTTGTGCTCGAAGTATCGTAATACTTGCAGCAGTTAGCTAACGCTTGTGAGATTTCCCCCGCATCCTACCGCCTTCTCCAGAGATTGTAAGTATGTCGTATCTAGTGTGCATGGCTGCCGCTCAAGACCTGCAGCACAGATTTCCAGTCAGTGCCTGCCAGAGGGCTCCCGAATCGTCCATCGTCCGATGCTGATGACACTCTACTCAAGTGGCCGGATTGAAATCAGAAGGTGCCTAAGCGAGTTAAATTTATGTGGTGGGGGCTTCTGATTTCAATCCGGCTACTTGAGTACTAGTACACAGTACGGTACTCAACACAATA